CAGTAAGTGTATCAGACATGTAAATCTGTCTCATCAATCTCCAAGAGTTGATCATCAAGCAATGAATAGCATCTAACCTCTCTCCAATTGTAGTACGTAGGCCAGAAATTCACACCTAGAGATTGTACCACCATATGGTCCGCCAGCGCGCGACCAACATCCTTCACCGCACCCCCAAACATCCCCACCACAATCGCAGCATCTCAAACCGAGCACCTCGCCGTCGCAGCCTCCTCATCCCTCCTCCTCTTCACCCGCTCCCAATGCGGAACCTGGGACTCTACCCTCGCTCTCAAACCCCTCTCCTCAGACATCCTAGCCCTAGACTGGCTCTCCTACACCACCCTCGCCCTCGGCTCCCGCGACGGCTCCATCCGCCTCTACGACACCCGCTCCGGAGGATCCAGCCACATCCTATCGCACCCGTACCCCATCTCTAAGCTCAAACGCGCAGACGACGCTTCCCGCCTTGTGTGCTCTGGCCTTGAAGATTCCTTGTGTCTATACGACTTGCGATCTCCCCGCCAGCTACCAAAGTCTAGCAACCAGCATTATCAGAATTTTCCTAAACGAAGGAAGTACACGCATGGACATCGAAAGGCGGTGTCGACTCCGCTTCTTACTTTCGAACATGCAAATCGCGAGGAGCTCGATTTGGATATCGCGGTGCATTCGCGGTTGGGCTTGTTGGCTGCGGCGCAGGATCTTGCGACTGGGACGGCGATTCGGGTTAGTAACTTGTATACGGGGAAGATGGTCCGAGAGATCAAGTGCGAGGGGAAAGGGACGAAGAAGGGAAAGGGCGGATGGGAAAGTATTCGGTCGTTGAAGTTTGTGGAAGGGGGAGGAGAGGAAGGTGGAGGGGTTGAGTTGTGGTCGTGTTGGAATGGGGGGATTGGTGAGTTTAGTTGGTGATGGTGAGTGGTATGCTGGTGGGCGGGAGATATGGTTTGTGAAAGACTAGCCGATGTATGGTTACTAGTAGTATTGTAAGACGATGTATGGACTCCCTTGTGTAGGGTTACTCTGTAAACTAACTATCTACGTGACTATCTCGATGCGGTATGGATACGAGCAACATATATGTACCGAGTATATCTCACTCCTCCACACATATTTATACAACGTTCATTGTCGTCCATCAATATCACGCTATCTTCTTGCCTCCTCCCAGAAACGGTATTCTCGCCCCTCCTCTCCCCAACTTGGCCAACGCATCCCCCAACACCTCGCGAATCGTACTTTCTAGCCTCTTATCCTTCTTCCGTCGCATCCATAGCAATACTATGCCCAAAACAACCGCATCGACAACCACGTGCTTGAAGCACGCCCAGACCCATCGCCATATGCCTCTGAACAGCCGATAATGCGCCGAATGCGCAAATAGACGCCGTGCTTCTAGTTGCTCCCGTAACGCGGCTACTTCGGCTGTCATCTTCATCAGGGATTGCTCGACGCGTTTGCGCCATTTCTGGTCGGCGGCGGATTCCTTGGCTGCGTTGTTCGGACCGGGGGTACTGCCGAAGCCCGGGATGGGCATTTGTATTGGTTTTCCGAGGACGGCCATGCCTCTGGGTTTTGGAGCGGGAGTCGGTGTCTGGATGGGGATAGGTTCGGCGCGCATAAGGTTCTGGAGGTCGGTTTGGACGCCAGCGTCTTCTAGGTTGTTGGTTTCGTCGTTTTCGTCGTTTTCGTCTGGGTAGGAAGTCGGATTGTATTGTGAATCTGGGGCGTCGACGAAGACTTCACCGCGATCGATTTCCGCCTCCTCTTCTTCGAGATTTTCCTCGGATTGTGAGATGGGCGACTTGACTCGTAGCGGCATATCTCGCACTGCTTCTCTTGTTGGCGTTTCGTCAGTCCGTCTGAGGGGCGCGCTCATTTCCATGGCTGCGCGCCGACTCTCACCCAGCTCATGCTGTGAATAACCAGACTGGATGTGGTCGGAGTGTCGCAAGGGCGAGGATGATGACGACGAGGGCACATTGGACTTTACTTGGTCCCAGACAAATTCCAGCTCGGCGACGAGTTCCCTCGAGTCTGGGGAGGGCGAAGCATACTTGTGCATGGTGTCAATCAGGGTGGTGATGTAGCGGCGCTTTGCCTCTGTGCGCGAGAGACCGTTTTGCTGTTTCCATGCATCCCTGAGGGTCGTTAGTTATGCGCTGCTATCGGCCAAGAAGAATGCCATATGTCGCGTGCCCAACGTACCACTTCTCTCGCGCTCGTTGGCTCTGGTCGTCGTTCCCTCGCGGACAGTCCATTATGCCATCGACATCGCCCTCTACAGTGTGTTAGTCACTGTTATCGTTGCCACAACACTTTCGATCGCAACATACCCATGGCCTGCTTGTACAGTCCATACAGCCGCAGCCGTATCGCCGACGGCGGCTTCTGCGATCCAGTGCGGATCTTGTTGACGGTGTTGAGCGCATGGCTAAAGACTCGATCTATGTTTCTCCATATCAACACGCCTGTATCCAAAACTTGAGGCGGGACGGATGCAAGCACATACCAACCGAGTCTGACATTGCTAGGGTGAATGGCGCGCCCCCACACGTGGGGAGCGTGGCATTGATCGGGAACAGGAGCTTGTACGGGCGTATCTGAGCACCGCATGCACAAATAAATTACCCGGGCCAGAGCAGCAGAGAATGTAGACAATACTGAGCGGTGGACGGCGGATGGGCGGCGGGCATGATGCGATGACATGCGGAGCCGGTAACGGTGTGGACATGGCATCGTTGTCGCGCGCATCCTTGGGGCCTCGGCTGCTTCGGCGCGCGCTTGCCATGTGGCAGTCCATGCGGGTCTGTCACGTGTCGCCCTGCGCTAGTCCCCTTTGACGTGGATGTCACTTGTTTCAGTGATTATCTAGCTGTCAGCACCACCGTTCTTGTGCTCTCTGCATCTTGTGTATAAAATTTGTCCAGTATGTCTTGTTAGCCACACTGCTGACTCAGCATATACAAACACTCCCCGTACCCCGTTTCAAAGCTGTTTTGTACGTTATGCGTTGACATGTTTCCTGAATTAGAGTTTGTCGTAATCGAAGAGATCATGCCGCATCTACCGTGTGCGTAATGCTTGTGTATTTAAACCCGGCACTCGTCTGCCTCCAACACTCTCGTCTTGAACTACTCCACATTCGGTCTTGCTTACATTGTCTTATTTCAACCATGCATCTTCTTTTGTCTATCGTGGCACTCTATGCTGCCCTCGCATCTGCCCTATGTATAAATTCAAACTGTTACAGCCTTCAGAAGAGATGTACCAAGCTATGCCTCAATCAAGAGATCGGACAGTGGGAGCAGATATCAGGTACATGCAAACAGTGCCACGGTTATTCTTCATTCGTGCATTTTGACTGAATTTCTAACCGTAATTTTTAGAAGTGGAGACAGTTTGGTATGCACCTGAACGGCAAGAGACTGTTCCGCCGCAGATAGCCTTAGAACAACCGACTTTTTGCATTCGAGAATCCGGCAGCACAGCAATACGAAGCCTTGGTCAGATAAATACACTGTCCATTTCAATAGCTGAGCTGGATCAGATGACCACGAAAGATATACGAATGACAAAAATCTGAACCATATCATTGACGACCTGCTCTTGAGATCTGATATCAAGTTGTGCGCGGTTTTTTTAGTGCCAATTTTTTCTTGCAATGGTTGTGTTTGGATGAGGATAATCTGATCTAATCGTCAAGTATGGAACATCGGTAGTTTTGAGACTATTTTATGGCCAGAGAGCTCTTCTCCACGTACAATAGGCTAGTGATTTGAGATGATATTCTGGCTATGCGCAATGCAAGTACCATTACCAATCAGGTGTATTGATAGCGATGAAACATGGGCGCATATCGTCAACAAACAAAAATCTTCCTACAATACTGGTCAAACATGTGTATCAGCCATGTAAGACGGTCTGCACCTTATGATCCTGTCTTTGAGAAGCCCGAGCGGCATGTACACAGTATGGTCATACTCCAAGCTCGGCAGATCGACTCATCAAAGTCTACTTCTGGACCGTGCTGTGTTCGGAAATTATTACCCGCTAATCGGAGTTTTGCGTTTCCTGGATTTTTAAGTTTCGGCATGTTTGCAGTGTCGACATGGGCATCAATATACACAAGACATGGGGCTTATTTCAACGTAAGCTCTAATGTAACCTTAATGTCATTGACCTTTTTCTAAGAATATATTTAGGCACTCGAGATCCACTATAGTTCTTCTTATATACCATTATACCATTATACCTTGTCAAACCTACCTTGGTTCCGCTATACTTACAAACTCTGCTTTAAGTTCGCTATAGTTCTACGTTGAATCAAGACGCGTTTTGTTATTCCCATCACCACCCTCTTTCGTGGCCCTGGCGTCTGCTCAATGCCAAGTTGTGACTCCATGTTCTGAAGGTATCGGTACCTGCATGAAGGTATGCGTCGGTCTTAAGGGTTATATAACAGGAACTTGTTTACGGTAAGTTTTCATGGAATTTGGGGAGCAAGCTTCTAACAAAGCCAGTGACGGGTCCTGCAACTAGACAGCCAGGAATTGAGCTATCATTCAAAGCCAACGAACTAATCTCCTTCTTCACTCCCGGATTAATCCTGCTTTGCAATTTCTTGGTGGTGATATCAATTTGGATAAGCAAAAGTGTAAAACATCGCTTGGGCTGATTGTGAGAGCTTTGTATTACTGATGACAGCTCGTCATCTTACCATTTGTCCGTAAACATGTCGCCCGTGCGGGGCAAGTAAGATTACCCAGTAATAGCATACCAAAGTTCTCGTGTTTAGACTCTCGGCGCCGCCTTGGCTCTTTATGTGCTAATAATAGATTATATTTGCCTAAAGTAAGCTCTCCTACGACGTGGTAAGATATATAAATGTTCTCACAGTATCTCCTCTGTGCATTTAGAAGTGGCTATCCTCCGCATTTTACGATTTTCGCCACCGTAATTCTTTCATCTGATTAACGGCGTACCGGGCTTCAACCATGCATTTCAGCATCTCCATACTCGCTCTCTCAGCAGCTCTTGCATCTGCTACAGAGGTGGCTCCTGCAGCAGCTGCTGATGCACCTCCTTCACCTGTTGCACAGATTTGCTCGGACTTCCTCAACCGTTGTATGCAAGACGGGGACCCATGCTCGACCTTTTGCCGAAACGCAGAGACAAATGAGATTATTTCCGTATATGAGAAGTTTTGCCTCAAGTAGGCTTATCTCATGCGCATTGAGAAGCTCATATTCTAACAATGTTCAGGGTCGAAGACGAATGGACTTGCAGTGGAAAGCAGCCAAATCCCGGAACCTAGGAATACCAGATATAAACAAGTGGGCGATGACTCCACAAATAACTATATAAAGAATGATATCCTTGCGGTTATTTTAGCCAGGGACACTGTTTGGGTAAAATACAGTATATGTCATCTATTAAGTTTACTGTTCTAATATTGGATCGTTATCAGAACGTAAACTTTCCTTCTGCTTACATACCCTGTCCATGCCACGTGCGCAACATCATCCACGAATTAGATAATGACATGCTCCACTGTGACTCTCGCTACAGCATACCCCTAGTAGGACACTCAACGGCTGTGAGGGTGTTAGGTCATAGATCGTAGCAGCGTCTATTGCGCCGATCTGATGGTGTAGAGACTTTGTTTGGGAGATGCCAGTTGGAGTTTCCTATTGTAACTGAGAACACACTACAAGATAAAGAAACAAGGCAATATAGTGTAACAGGATTGATGATGTTGGTGTAGTAGGCAAGGCGCTATCCCCTACCTGGTAAGGCTCAACGCCACAACATCCTTCGTTGTTGTTAGTGAGAGTCTATCACAACCCCGAGCCTACTATCACTTCTCTCTTTCGAAGCCGTCAAATCGATTGGTCGCTGATAAGCTCAATGTCACTCGGCATTACAAAAGTCAAAGTCAATCGCTTCATAAAGAGGAGGAGATGTATTCATAGACCTAAGCTACCTATCTTCTCAAAGTCCAGCAAAAGCATTTATCAAGCCCGTATCTCTCTCTGAAATTGCACCCCTTCAGAAAGTAGGTGCGCCATGAATCTCCATTCCCATATTCCATTCTCCTCAATCATACCCTGTCAGAACCCATCATCATAGTCCGCCGATCTCCCATCTTGAATAATTCATCTAGGCCAGGGAAGATGCCCAGGTTGGCGCCGTCTAGCACCTATCGGTGTAGCCGCAGGGAGTGCAGGCCTTGTTGAACTTGCGACAAGTGTCGAGGTTGCAGGTCTTCGAGCAGGCCATGGGGTCGTACCAGCACCAAGTGGACTATGATATTTCGTTAGCATCTACTCATCTTCTTGGAGAAGTAGGAAGGGAAGATAAACTTACGCCCATGCACTTCCGATAGAATTCGTCACACTGACGGCAGTCGCGGGCAGGGACAGCGTTGACATTCTCGGCGCCGGTGGACTCAGTGTTGACAGGAGCACGCTCGGGCTCGGCGATGAGGGCGGGGACATCGTCTGGGGCCGCGAGGGGGCCGGCAAGGACGAAAGAAGCCACGGTGGCGAAGATGATGATGTTGAGCTTCATGTTGATGAAGTTGAAGTTGAAAATTGAAGTTGGAAGAAGGTTAAGTAGAGTGAAGCTTGGGTGAGGAGTTGAACGAATTGGTAGATCTTGCGTTAAGGAAAGGGTGGAGGGGTGGTGGGGGCAGTTTATATAGTATGAGGAAGGGTGGCAGTGAAGGAAGAGTTCTCTCACTTACTTCGGGGCGGGGGCACGTGCGGGAGGGGATGGCTGGCAGGGTGAAAGCGGCTCTGGAGACTCAAGCAACGGTTGCGGTGTGGGAGCGGGAGCGGGACCTGAATTTGCAGTGAAACAGAACGTCGTGTTACTGTTGAGAGCATGTGATAGCAGTGGAGAAGGCAAAGGCATGTTCGCACAGTGTAGGTTTGGGGACGTCCGTGACTCTAGCAATACTATGTTTCACAAGATGGACGGATGTGGGGCACCAGACTTATATTCATGTAAGAAACACCAACTATCCTGAATTGATTACATAAAATTAGGATATGAAAGTTTGTGTGGGAATGTATTTTGAGACTTGCATTTTGTTTATGTGGGAGACCCGTTTACCATGACTGAGTTGAGAATCGGGCAAGAGAAAGACTGCTGAAGTGCAAAAGGCTGAGCGAGTCGGGGTGAGTGACAGCCATTGTGGAGGTTCGTGAGCATATGTGCTGAGAAAACTTTGTTGCAAACGCATCCGTCGACGTAAGTACATGTTGCGGAGAACGGGGCGTCAAGTTTGGTTGTCGCAGGTCGGAATCTCTGAATGGAGCAATGACAGAATCACGAGAAGAGAGACAGCATTTTATGACGTCCATTATATTTCCTTCTAAAAGAATCTACCATATATTACTCCCCTCTCATAAGTCGTGAACAATCTTCCATCAGCATCCATCGGTAGACTCGATAAGCCGACAACCTTCAACCTCCATCCAGCCAGTCATCTACATAAACTTGTCCATGGTATACATTCCCTCCATGTCTGCCAGGCTGCTGGTTCCGAATATGGGGAGACGATCAATCGAAGACTACACTATGCAACTGTTAGTCTCAACTTGAAGCCAAATCATTGTGACTCTATCACTTACCTTAGCACTTCTTGTAATCGCAATGCTCCTTGCAGATGGAGCTGACGCGGCAGGTATCGATACCGCAAGTGGTTGGACAGGTGTCTCTACCAAAGTAACAACTCTGCACAACATGTCAGTGAGCCCAACGAGAATCAGAAGTTTTGCATTTATAATACTCACCCGCATGCATGCGTCGAAGAACATCTTACACTCTTCGCAAGACCTGGGCAAGGCCTCGCCATCCGAAGCCGTGGCAATAGAAGCAAGAGCGACGAGCAAAACAGCAGCGAGCTTCATCTTAATGTTTGGATAGATTGGAAGTTGAAACTTTGAGAAGTGTAGTGGAGTTTGATCAACGAGTTGAGTGACTTGAAAGCGTATTCGCGACTGTCGAAAGTGGTGAGGAGAGATTGGCGCAGCGGACGAGGGGATATATATACCATGCAGAGTGCAGATTTCGGAATCCAGGCCAGGGCGACTCGAGTGCCAAGAAAGCAAACTGGGTGAGAGTGAAAGTCGCACTTTGACGTCGTTATGGCTCAATCTCCACCAAAGCATCTTTCACCCGTTCACTCACACACCACATGGAACATAGAATCAAAAAGGAAGAGGTGTGTTTCGTATAACCTTAAGCGTCAATCCTCTTGTCAGGTATGCATGTTGTGGAAAAATGCCCATGATTGATTGCCAGCCCTTGAATGTATGTGCGATCCATGTAACCCTCTATTGCCCAAACAACCATTTCCCTCATGCAATAGTTACAGTTTTGTCTTGTTCCTCTTGGTTGTGCCTGTTCTAGTCCAACACATCTAAATATTTTCGACACTCGGGCATGTCTTTTTCGCAGTCTCTGTGCCGACAGAGCGGGGTGTACATGCATGTGCGGACCTGGCACTCGGACCAGCACACCTCAGGACCCGAGTCACATATCTATTGCAAACGAGACCATTAGCATATCTTCCTAGGACGATCAGTGCTGCAGAGTGACCCAAGGCCTGGCAAAGACCTACCAGCAGGCAGTCCTGCACATTGTACAGGCACTGCTTACACTTCAGTTTCTCGGCCTTCTTGTCACGGCCAACGACAATGGCAACTAGTAGTATCAGTAGCTTTCTCATGGTTATAGTGTCGAGGTGGCTGAATTGGAAGCAGATGAGAAGACGTGTTCAACTGAGCCATGATGGAGAGTTGCGGTAGCGAGTTTAGGTAAGGAAGGAGCAGTGGGACAGCTGACGTATGAGCACAACACCCCGCCACTCTCACTTCCATGACATGCTCTCTTCAGCCCATGAATGGTATTAACAAATCATTGTACTATCATACTCGGAATCAGACAATGTAACATGACCAGATGCGACAATCCTCAGATTGATCATGTTGCTTGGGTTGTTGTTTGATATGGATAGTACGTAAGCCATCTTCATACCAACACACGCGACTGAATTTCTTGTTCGGGCAATCAAACTGCTCAAAGCTTCATGTCTCCACGCACACTCGATTGCCGAACCTCGCTCGATCCCCGATGCGAGAGCTGCTCGATATCGTCCTTTGACGCCCGCGCCGTCGCATACGTCAATTGATCCTTCAGAGCCGCAAAGTTCTTCTCCGCCTCCCAATTCCAGATGCTATCCGATGCAAAGAGAAGGTCAATTTCTTCCAGTGTGCGTTGATTTGTTTCCGGGTACAGCGCCCAAATCATGGGAATCGTGATGGCGTTGCATGCAGCGAAGATGTACAGCGTTTTCTCGCCTAGAGCATTGAACATGACCGGGCAGAGCAGAGTCAGCCAGCCATTGCCAATCGACCAGCCAACAACACCCCACGCGTTACCTTTTGCTCGAACCTCCAACGGGAAAATCTCTGCAGGGTAGAGCCAAGGAACCGTCAGCCATGTCGCGCCGAATATGGCTGTGAAGAGAAAGACCATGGACACTGCCGCATTTCCATACGAAGATGCCTTTCCCAACTCGCCGTTCTTTGTCGCTTCTTGACCGAGATACGAGAATCCGCCTGCAAGCGCCATTGCGATTCCCTGTCCTACCGAGCCCCAATAGCAAGTCCAGCGTCGTCCGATTCGGTCAAGCGTGAAGACGCAGATGAGCGTCGCGAACATGTAGAAGATGTTATTGAGACCAGCGATCCACTGGCGCTTTTCTGGGCTCATACCTGCAATTCCAAAGATTGTTGGCGCGTACACTGTGACACCGGCGATACCGATCCACTCTTGCATAATCTGGAACCAGACAACAAGCTGAACGCGGCGGCCAGTATGTAATTTTTCAGAGCCAATACCGAATAACATATGGAAGTAGCTCTGCTTGCGGAAGTTCGAGCGCTCCAGTTCGCATGACGAAACGATGTCTTGGAATTCCGCTTCGGCCCTGACCTTGTCTTCTCCCGTGTCACCTCGAAGACGAGCCAAAACGTAACGTCCTTCGGCTTCTCGTCCGACCTTGACTAACCATCGTGGGGATTCGGGGAAGAACAAGACACTAGCCATGAGGATGAGGAGCATGGGGATCTGGAAGGCAATAGGGAAGCGCCAGATGAACGAGGAGGTTCCGTCGCCGTAGAATGAGCACCCATATTCCAACCAGTAGGCAATGACCACGCCGAGGATATTCAGCGTGAACTCGATGGCGATGAACTGACCTCGGGATGTGTGCTCTGCTGTTTCGGTTGCCCAGACAGGAATGATAGAGTTCAGGATACCAGTTCCCCAGCCGTTAACCAGACGCGCGCAAATCATCCAAACATGATCCATAGCCGAGCACTGCAGTGCAGCGCCAACTGTTCCAATAGCAGCTCCAACGAATATGGTCTTGATGCGTCCAAACCTATCGCCAATCGAACCACCGACTAGACACCCGACCAGCGTCCCTAAATAGTATACAGATACGATGCCTCCTTGAAGGAGGGTGTCGTCGACGACAGGGCCACCATCAGGGCCTTTGTGACCAAATCCCATGAGCGTATAGTAGTCGTATGCTGTGTTGACACCGCCCATCATACCCTGGTCGTATCCAAAAAATAGGATCGAAAGACCAGCGATGCAATTGATCCTTGGAACACGGGTAAGCAACTGTATAGAAATTCTGGGGGCAATGTAACTTACGCTATGAGCAAACTTCGCTTCTCATAGTGATGCACAACATTGAGCCTATGAATCTTATCCATGATTGAGCCGAGGAGGGCGAGTTGATCGCCCCAGTATGAATCGAGTTCGCGCAGGAAAACAAAAAAAAAGAGAGGACATCACGCACCCATATAATATATCCTACGCGGATCCAACACACCTCATCCCATCGGTGCCATTGCCGAAGGAAAACAATCAGCTGTGCTAATCAAGTCCATCCGCATCGCAAACCCACTTTTTCTTCAAACGGCGGGGAACACTCTCCACTCCCATGGGGCCCCAACCGCAGCATCGCGCATGCTGACTGGATCACAGCGATGCTACGATGCCCACCCGCATGGGCCTGCACCTGCGCCCGATCGTGTGACTGGGTTGCATCCGTTAGCTCTGCTTTTTTTCTCTTGAAATTTGCGAGTATAGTTTGAAGGGATATGCGCAATTACCGGATTGGGTAATCCGGCCGGTAAGGACAAGAGACGCGAAGCTTGGGGTTGGCGAAAGCTTCGTACGGAGCTTTGAAGTTGCTTGACAATGACGTGAGCTGTCATTGTCTGCGTAAACAATGTCATACGACTGTTCTAGGGACTTTGCAGGCGCCATGCTGCTGCATCATAATGCATTGATTTCCTCATGCACATTTGTTGTTTCCTTGTCGGCAGCGGCGATGGGACGGTGATGTCACCGACGTGCAGGGTTTATCTTGAATCGGAGAGAATAACGGCGAGACCCTCTGGGGATCGGCATTCATTCTCCCAGTTGCCGACAATGTAAGACTCGAGACGAGGCTGCATGTGATGAAGACACATCTGATATTAGTCCCAAACTCCACATTACACACATGATGCAACTCCTTCCTGGTTAAACGCTGCACACCGCTTACACAGCAGCAGCAGCTCCACCACCCGCCTTCCCCTCCGCATACACCCTCTCACAATACTTTTTCAAATCCTCACACCAAAGCCTCACCTTCCCCTGCAATGTCTCCAACATAAACAACTTCACAAGCCTCGCCGTCATGCCACTCATCAACTCCCAATTCCTCACCTCACACGTATCCTCGCTCGTAACAATGACCTCGTGAAACCGCTCAATCTGGGGCGCAAACCCCATCATCCCCCCATTACTCGTCCACGCAACCCGATACACCTTGCCCAGATCAGCTGTAAAACTCGGATCCGCAAGCTCTTCAGCCGACAAGTACGATGATGGCGCGTCGGGTGTCGAGATATCCGAGACTTTGAGCAGGGTGTGCGTGATGGAATCGGGTTTCGAGGCGTCCATTACGACGTTAAATTCCATCTCGGTACCCACACGCATTCGCGACCCATCTTGTTCTTCTGTAGTGTTGCGAGGAGGCGGCTGGGAGATGATGCGTACGCTCGGTATCCACGTGTTCCAAGCAGAGTAGTTTGAGGTGCGGACGAGGGTGTCAAAGACGACGTGTGCGGGGGCGTGCACGGTGGTCGAGTATGGGAGCTCGAGGATTGCTTTGTCGCGCGGGACGACTTTGGTGGTGAGGCCGTTGGCGGGCGGCCAGATTTTATCGTCTGCCATAGTTGTGTTTATTGATTTCTGGAAATAAGAGTGAAGGCGGTTTTGTTGTTGATGTTGTTGTTTATGTGTGTCGCGCTCCGAGTGTTACCGGCGGTGCAGTGCGGAGACGGCGGGTAAGCATGGGGCGTTATCGATAAGTACTAAGTAAGACGAGTGCGCATCATATCGTATCCTTGACAGGGGGCCGCCGCAATTGGATTCGCGCGTAAAATACAGTTTTCAGTTTATGTATTGTACTGTAGTATCGCATAGTTAGTCTGTGAGTATACACTGTAATTTCTTTTCGTATGTACATAACTACCTTCTTCAATCAGCCCTTTGGCAGCGATTGGATTTCAGCTTTGTTGTGCCAGCTCGATGGCGGGTCACCCCTTGATCTTTTTGAACATAGTAAGAGAAGTATAGATCTAAATTTCGTGTAATAATGATAATAGAAACTAATGAATCTTTTTCACTACGTAATTGAAGACCTATTAAATCCGACATTGTTAGTGTACAAAGTCAAGCTCAGTGTGTTCGCCTCCGACAAAGAAGAGCATCGGATTAGGCCTGCTACAGGCTAGTTACTCTTAATAGCTCTGCTCTTTATTCAATGCACTTCTGAATACATTCCCCACATATAGACATCGCGAGTGTTAAACATCCACTAAGCGTAAAAGTTGCTGCCAGCGTCAGCCCCCCTCTAGTAGCTACTGATGCGGCGAGCGACGCTCCTGAACATATTAATATTCGCCCTGCCCACTTTCCACTACACCAGAATCAATGTCTATTGTAACGTAGACTGAAATTATAAACTAAAAGTAACAAAGGGCTCCAACGTCGCCTTTGATCTTCCATGCTATCAACCTACCATATCCACCCCTTTGGCCCACCCCACCGTCCCTTCACATGAAATCGATCGTACACCCACGGAAAGAAATCCTTTTTGAGATGATAAAACGCACGCCGCGGCACGGCTTGATCGATTCCAACCCAACTCTTAAACGTCTCCTTAGGCACGCCCCCGTACTTGAATTCCGCCAGGAAGACTTTCTTGTCGCCCGTTAGCAGCGGACACGATGTGTACCCGTCGTATTCCTCGCTTGCGTCTTTACCCTCGAGACTGCGTAAGACGTTTTGTGTGACGACTACGGCTTGCGATGTTATCGCTGCAACGGTCTTGGAAGTGGGCAGGTTTGCGGCGTCGCCGAGGGACCAGATGTTTGGGTATTTTCTGTGGCGTAGGGAATGCGGGTCTACATCTACGTATCCGGTTTCATTGCTCAACGGGCTTACTTTGATGAAATCGTGGGGAGCATTTTTCGGGGCGACGTGAAGGAAGTCGAAACGTCGGTGGACTTTGGCTTGGCTGTTTGCACGAGCGAATGTTGCGGTGTTACCGGAGATGGAGATGAGGTCGTGTTCGAATAGACCTTCAACGGCGCGTTCTTTGCGCAAAGCATCGAGCGTAGAGCTGTATTTTGGGACGCCGAACATGCTAGGGAGACCGGTCGCAAACGTGACGTTGATTGAAGACTTTTTCGGGTCGTTTTGGTACAACCCGGATCGTCCCCAGTGGTCTAGTGCAAGCCACATGATCTTTTGTGGTGCGCCGGCGCATTTGATCACGCCAGCTGGTTGGGTGAAGACTGCGGAGCCTGATTTTAATCTTTGAATGTTTCGGAAGACTTTGTCGCAGTAGTCGTAGCTGTAGATAGATGCGACAGGACTGTGTGGGTTGCTCAGTGCTTCGGACAAGCCGTTGATACTGTCATAGTCAATCTTGATGCCTGGTGCAACCACAAGATGGCCGTAGTGGATCGTATCACCACTGTCAAGTGTCAAGAGATTATTGTTTGGGCTGAATGATGCAACGCTCTTGTTGTAGAATTTCAGTTTCCCGTCCACCAAGTCATCCATTGGTGTCCTTAGAGCTTTCTTGTCTTTCAACCCTCCGCCAACAAGCGTCCAACCAGGCTGATAATGATGCCATTTCGCTGGATCAATGACAGCAATATCGTCTTTGGTAAACTTGCCTTTTCGCAATAGTTGATGACTGACTGCAACACCAGCCGAGCCGTTTCCAACAACGACAATTTTGTGGTTCCTGGCTGCAGGGGCTGCGAGCGAAACCGTTGCAAGATTGCGAATAGCTGAGCGTTTGCTGAGAAGGTCCCAGCCTCTGGATTTCTGTAAACAGTTCATTGCAATTTATCACTGTGTATTTTTTAGTTTTTTGTATTGTTAGCGCCAAGAAATGGATGCTACAACGAGAAAGTGACATTAGATGGTTTGGAGTCGCTAATGGAAGAGGAAATCAAGCGGGGAAACAAGAAGAGAATGCATGGTTTTCAGTAGCTTCGAGTTATTGTTATCTCGTGTCAAATTTGAATCAGCAGATGAATGCGCCATGGCACAAGCCGGGTATGTAATGATGTAGACCCTGTTTCGGCGACTAACACGGGTGATCGGCGTCTACACATGAGAGCGGAACGCCGAACCCTGCATCAAGGTGAGCCATCAAGGCATCTGGAGGCTCATAAGACGGGATACCTCCAAACGTTCTTGAGAAGACTTATTTGAACAACATGCAATCTGCTTCTCGAAATCAATCCAAGTGATGAAAACTTTGCGATTCTACAGCAAACCCCTATTTTCCAGCCCGCTCTCGAACCGATTATCACATTGCACACCCAAGCACCGACCTATAATCCAAAAACAACATCTATTGCATCAGCAAAATCTTCCCAAATCTTCCTTCGCAGCACATTGCTCAACCGGCAAGTGGAAGTCCGTCACTTCAGCCATTCGAAACATGTCCCCCGTAGCCACTCCAACAGAGCAATTCTTTCAATTCTCAAAACCTAGAGAACAAGCGATTTACAACGGCATGACTGCAACGTCTCATGAGCCTGCTATCCACAGTTGCTTTGAAGAGAAAACAGGCACGTGGCAGTACATAGTTGCCGATCCAGCTACGAACAAAGCCGTCATTATCGACGCTGTCCTGGACTACGACGCAAACTCCAGAACCGTTAGCACATCAACGGCCGACAGTTTACTCGGCATCGTATTTCGCCAAGGATATCAAGTCGAGAGAATTCTTGAGACGCATGTACATGCCGATCACCTTACAGCTGCGTCTTACCTGCAAAGCCGACTCTTACAAATCCAAGGGTCCAGGCCGCCGATTTGTATTGGGAAGCGTATCCACCAAGTCCAACAGTTCTTCGCTGCTAAATACGGAATTCCAATCGACGAGTACGAAAACGCGTTTGACCGTCTTTTCGAAGACGATGAGTCGTTCGCACTAGGGCAACTGACGGTAGACGTCATGCATCTTCCAGGACATACTCCCGACCATTTGGGATACCGAATTGCTAGTAAGTAGACTGATGGGCAACTAGAGTAAGAAACATGCTGATCGGCGAGCAGAAAACGTCTTTTGTGGCGACTCCATCTTCCATGCAGATATTGGTACAGCGCGATGCGACTTTCCCGGTGGGAGTGCAAAGGACCTGTACATGTCGGCGAAGAAACTGCTTAGTCTACCGGAAGACTTCAAGATTTGGACTGGCCATGACTACCCAACATGTCCTGCGCGGTGCGAAGCCGTTCCCTGGATGACGGTTGGTGATCACAGGGAGAGAAACAAGCATGTTTCTATCGACATTGCAGAGGAGGACTTTCTCACACTGAGACGGGAACGCGATGCAGGATTGGCTGCACCAAAGCTGCTGGACCCTTCGTTGCAGGTTAATATCCGAGCTGGTAGGCTACCCCGGCCAACGCCCGGTGGTGAGCGTTTGGTATCTCTGCCAATACATTCGCGATGCGACGCATGGTAGTCTTTCTTTGTCCAGGAACGCAGGAAAAAGAGCAGCCTGCAATTTCTATAACAGCGTTCTCTTCTTGATTTGGTTCGGCAATGTGTTTCATGCGTTAATAATGAAATTATTACCAATTTTTCGTAATCCTGGAGTTGCGCTACGTGTTCACAGAGCAATTGTCTATGCCCATAAGATCATATAGGTTGTGTAAATCGATGTCATCAAATTGACTTCTTTCAACCGGCATGCTTGCAAGCGAAGTTACAATGTTCTCTGGTGAATGTCCATGGTGTGAAGGAATCGAGGGCATGTGACACGGTGCTTGGAATACGGCGCTTGCCACCTTTTTCAGTGTGCACATCACGCTGTCAGCCACTGGCCAATGTCGACCCAATGTCTTGCATACACCCAGCAGCAACTTGACTCGATCAGAATGTTGTTCTATGCAATTTCCAACTGTCCTCGCATGTACTGCACTGATGGATAGCTGCACTACCGTAGCCAGAGCAAGAGGATACACGAAAAGGGGGCTGTGCTTGTGGGCAGGAGCTTGGAGGGCGGCTAGCATTGATATGGCTCTGGACGCTTCGACGGCTTTGACTGAGTGTACGTGTTGGCGATTGCAAGGGCAAAGGAGCTTGGTGCAATCGGCGCCAGGTACATTTTGTGTGAGGGAGTTAGGAGTGACGAGATCACCTCTAGGATAGTGCAGAAGAATGGTTCCCCACTGAATGATGGTATGAGCCTGGAACATGAGCTCGTCCAGCTCGCCAAAAGTGTTGGCAATCTGGTTCTCACTCTTAGTACGTGGGAGATGGTGGATGAAAGCAGCCAGGGAGTTATCGACTGCTTGAACGAGGTCCCTGTGAACGCCATGTGTTCCAGCAATCGTCAAAACTCGCCCGAGAAGTCGTGTTGCTTCGATGCGATAGCAAAAGGAAGAGAAGACCTTTTCTTCTTCTGCAAAGACGTTGTTGTGAAACTCGGCTAGTGTCGGCGGGACGAAGCACATTCCGCCCTCATAGATGAAGTTTTCGCATGGTAAAAGTACATCTGCGTTGGCCATGTTGGCCTCGAAAGTCGACCTTCGCTGCAATGCGGCAACACAGCCATCAACGACGTAGAGTTCGTACCAGGTTCGTCGCATGCTCTCTTCCAGGATTGTTGATCCTGCAGCATACATGGCGGCAAAGTCGCGAGTGTGTAGACCAAGGGTCAAAGCATTCTGAATAGCGGAATCGAGCAGGCTTTGGCCTTCCTCTGCGGCGTTCTGAGCGAAGAGAGCTACTGAATAGAGGAGTTTTGCTTGCACAAGCTCGGGGGTAGGCTGGCACACATGGCCAAGTTCTTGCGTAGCGCGTTGACGCAGCTCGGTTCTTGGTGCCGATGAGGAAAAGCAGCTGCCAATGTAGTGAACGACAGCCTTGAGGTATTGAGGGTAGGCCTGCTCCCAGTACAGGTGTCTTGGGAGGAGGACTGGGTGGGCTGCGTGGAAATTCAGATAGTAGAGGTCGACCAGATGCTCATCATCGGACCAGGCTAGGGGCGGCCCGCTTTGCAGTAGCAGAGGGTCCAATGGACTCCCGGTACCGAGAGACGGCCGCTGGGAGCGTGAGGGCGCCTCATTGAGTGTGGGCGCATTGGCAGTGAGGAAAAGATGTGGTGTTGTGGATGAAGAAGAGTAGGGCGGCTGTTCGGCCACCACCGGCTGCTGCTCATCGGCTGGTGGCGTCAAGCGCGTAACACCTCGTCGCCGCCCACGCCCGGAACGCTTGTAGGTGCAAGCATAGTTGCGAGTCTGGCAGCGCTCGCAGGCGGGTCTACCGCCATCGCACTTGAGATGGGAGCGGCGGCACTCCAAACAAGCGAGTGGGGCTGGCCGGACGTGTGGTATGGGCGCCGGGGAGGGCATATGGAGCGTAGCCTATGGTCGCGAGCTATGTATCCGAAACGAAATGTTGTGATTGAGAATGCAACGTAAAACAAAGACGCCGAAAGAGCTAGAGGGAAGCATTCGTGGCATGGCATGGCCCTGCGCTAGCCGCCTTGGTGTTGTCCGCAGAGTCGCCGAAGTCAGCAGCAACCTTCGCCGACTTGTGTACTGGCCCAACCTCACATAACCCCGACCCTTTGACTATTCTATCGTAGGTCCTAGCAGGCTGGCTATTGTGTAAACCCCCCAAATCCAGATCATGTCAGCCCGTTGGAAGAGAAATCCAACAGCACCATCATCATCATCATCATCATCATTTGCGCACGACGACTAACTTAGCCCAGTTTCTTCGTCGCATTGTGGAAAACGACCTCTCCTGACCACTTTTACTTTCATGTAGATGGCAATAAGCCATCGTTACAAATTGATAACCATGCATGGCTATACTACTAGAGTCTAGCTACCAACCCCCGGTACCATGGTAGAGCCCGTGCACGACACGTCTACTTTACTTGTTATCAGTGACTATTCAAACTTTGTTTCGATGGAAGGTCAAGCTGAGAAGACGACAGTGGCTCAAGACCTTTAGCGCTCAGGCATGCGGTATTGGTGTAAAACCATATTCAACCTTACAGTGAACGGGCTGACTTTGCTCATCGAACATAATCTCCAGTGCTTCGACTCAGCCTTAGATATTGAGTAGGAGGCTTATAGTTAACATCTCAAATAGATATGAAGGGAATTCCATTGACGTGAGTGACTAAATTCAGCTTGGAAAGGTAGCGGACTTGGAACAAACCCCACGTAAAAAAGCTTCTAACCTTGCAGTCGTGTATTACCAGACGAGAAATGCTTAGTATCTGATTTGTAAATTACCCCGTCAACCTCTAGTACGCGTATATCATGTGACGTCAGCGCGAATACACCATCCTCTCTCTCCCACACTTCAAAGCGCCCAAGCTACCGCTCCAACCACAAACGCGCCCCCAGCCATTACCACAACCCCCACCGGAAATGCTACACGACCTCCACCCCCTTCACTCGGCGTACTCGCCGCCCCCGTCTTCTCGACCACAGTCGCAACAGCATATCCAAACCCCCCACCCCACGTCAGACTCCTCAAGTCACTCTGTGCAAACACCGTTGGCGTGCCACTCGAAAACCCAGAGGTGTATCCCGAGCCGGTTACTTGGCCATCGCACGTGATGGGTACGTCTGTGAATACGCCCGTCCAGCTGCAATCGCCGTCGAGAGTGATGTAGCCTCCCTCTGTGTCCGTCAGACGGACACCATAGGTCTCTGGGCCTTGGAACATGATAAATGGGAAGCAATTAATGGCTCTTGTTGGAGTGTTGGCTGGGAGTTCGGTGTAATTGGGGTCGTAGGTCCAACTTTGTGGCGGTGCTAATATTCTTTAGTATCAGAGTTGTGAGATAATGGATATATAGTATGAAAGTTAATGCGTACGGCCAGTGTAAAAAGTTGAGGTCGGAGTAGGTGTCGGGGTGGGTGTAGTTATTGCGTCACATTGGAACGAGTAAGTTGTCGCTATGCTGTTGGATGAGACTAGTGTGACTGTCGGGGCCGCAGACCAGAAGATGTCCAAGCAAGTAAGATTGTAGTCTGCGCTTACTACACTAGCGAGGAGTAGTGCTACGAAAGTTTGGGACTTGACGGAAAACATGTTGTGGCTGCTGTTATTCGATAACGCCTCAGCATCCTAGACCAAGGCGAAGTAATGGGAGGTTGGAGCTTGAAGTACACTTGGAGATTTGGGGGCTACTGGCATTAAACCTGATCTTCAGATAACCAGATAACAAGGCATCGCGGCCCATGTTCCCGTTGTGGGTGCAAGCCACACGAAAGCTCGGTAACCCTCGTGCATACATAGTGTTAGCGTACGTCATGTGGCTGGAGGCCTAAGTAAAGGGCGCGATAGGCGATGTGCGGCGCAGTTACGAATTCTCATAGAAGTAAATGTCAACTGGATAACATTGCATGTGTTGAAGAGTACTTTCATTACTTGAGTCATGCTCAAAGTACCATTGCGACATGTATCTCGATCAGCATTCTACACGACGACTGCCCTTTGGCGGGAAGCGCGAGGAAAGCAAGACGAGAAACCCAAGAAACGCAACGGCAGCATTACAAACAAACGTGAGATAGCTCTTCCCAATTTCTGCAAGCGCTGCAAAGGCAAGGCCGAAGACGGCAGTTGTAGAAAGTCGCGCAATGTTCTCCACGAGTGTGATGCCACTCAAGGCGTCCACGCGATCGCTTTCCGGAAGCATTTGAAGAATTGTTCCCTTTGATGCGGCGCCTGTCCCTGCTGAAAATGGTAGGAGTACGGCTACAAGATACATTTGCCATCCTTTGGACACAAAGATGGCAAGGCCTGTCAGTATACCATCCAGCACAAGGCTGAAGCGCGCATAGAACAGATCAAATGTAAACGTTTCTTGTTTGTTGACCGGTTCGGGATTCGGTGGCTCTTCATTCTCCAGAGGGTCGACGATTTCGGTAACGGCAGGTGTTGGTGGTGTAATTTGGACCTGGATTAGCGGTTCTCTTTCTTCCACCTCTGTCACCTTCTGGCTGCTAACGTCGCCAAGCCATTTGCGTCCTGCAGCAATGATACGGGGAAACACTAGGGACAAGAAACCGCCCCTTAGCGACGAGTACAAGAAGATCAAGGCCCCATTCTCCTTGGTGCCGAAGCTGAATTCAGCAGTCGCATACATCTGGAGCAGCACCGGAATGTAGCCCGTCGCGAGGATACCTAGGAAAACACCGATTCCGAGTGTCAATGCTCCGGTTTGGATGCGAGTGTGGCCGTTGGGGAGTTCCCATTTCTGTGGCGCAAAGATTCGTAGGGGCCCAAAGAACCGCGCAATGCCCGTGGTTTGACGAGGCATTGCATCTTTGGGTTCTGCAGGCGGGCCCATGGCCGGCAAGGATACTGCTACATATGCACAGCAGAGCAGGAACAATGCCAAAGTCATACGGAATGGGGCAAGGATGCCAAAGTAGCCGCCTACGACACCGCCGATAAGGAAGCCAATGGCGCTCCCAAAGTACATGCAACCCTGGAGACGGCCAAGGGCACCCGTGCGTGCCTCGTGCCCAACCACATCAGCGACTAGCGAGTTGAGACAGAGAACATAGCCATTGGGACCTCCAACGACTGTGATGATTTGCGAGGCCTGGACAATCATGATGCCAACGCTGCTGCCATGCATGATGCCAATGTTCTGAACGAGCAGTCGAACAGCAGGCCAGAAGATTTGGATAATGAGAGCAAGCTTCACGCCTAATCTTTTAATCGTCCAGCCCGCAACCAGCAGATTAACAAGCCCGAATAACGTAGTCGACGAAGCGAGCAGCGCAAACGATCGCGCTGCTCCCGCTTCAATCTCGCGTCTTGCGCATATGTCGTCGGCATTGGGGTCGGGGGTGTGATGCTCGTAGTATGCATCGCAGGTCATCATGCGAAAGGCATAGAGGATGGGGACTTGGGTAATGCCAAAGGTCAACGACACGAGGAATGCACAAAGCAGCGCGCGGAATAAAACCGAGGAACCTTGTTGCTTGCCGATGTCGCTTTCTTTGGGCTCCTCGCGGTGCAAAAGAGGCGTCGTCTCTCCTGCGGACGAAGCATTGCTCGGCTCCTGTGTCGCGGTCATTTTGGAAGTTTGCGCCGAACTAGTTGGAGGAGAGGCGAGATGGTTGGGAAGAGTTCTTGAGCTGGATAGAACAGGTGCTACTAAACCCACGGCGGGAATTCTATCCGGTTATCGGCGGATCTGCGTGGTGCATATCCGTTCTCCACACCGACTCTTTGGATGAGGCAAACCGGACAGTAAATCACGCATCGAGTTAAGGAATCATACACTGTACGAAGGATTACATATGTCTGTGTTGCGATGAGTATACATGTTGAACAGACGCCTGCGTGCAACTTTTCGTTGTGGAAAATCCCTCGTGACGTAGGAATGTTGAATTGCCACCACCCCAACATCTCCGCGGCTAGCGTCTTCGCTCATCAGAGTCGGGATGGAAAAAGGTCTAGAGCTGCCAGGGCAAGCATCGTTTGGAAATAGATGTGTCGCTGTTTCTCTCTTAATCGTTGATGTCGTACCTGTTGGGACTTGCCGTACGCTGCCTCCCATCAGTTATTCTATCTTGCCTGTATATACATCACCTGTTAAAAGTTGCAGCACATGTGCATACTCCGAAGAAAATTGTAGCAATTGCTAAGATCTTGAATCCAATTGAGATGCGATGCGAGAATATACATTTTTCTAACGCCAATTCGAACCAAACAGGTGGGGTATGAAATGCCGGACTGCCAGTTTATCAGCCCACCATCAAACGCCACCCATGTTTACTTTCCCATTATCCATCGCCATGCCGAACGAGTAGAGAAGCCAAATGAACAAACCCGTAGCCCCTTTAAGCCAACAACTTCATCGTCACGGCGAAAAAAAGGGGGGTTCTCGTAGTAATATACAATGCCGAACAAAATCATAGACGTCCAGCGTGCTAAATCGGGTGCTCCCCGCGATTAGACGAAGGAGAACCTCTCGTTGCAATGCGACAGCTCGCGGAAGCAGTGAGGGCAAAGGTCCAGTCCTTGAGATGTAAGCCCTAGAGTCGCTGAAACAGCATGGAGGGTGTCGCGGGTCGAAGTGGGAGCGGTGGCTGAAGCTGGAGTCGCGACGCCCGATGCAGCGGCTGGGGTGGAAGAAGTAGAGTCTGGGTACTTGATCAGTGTGGAGTCCAATGTGTGGGGTAGGGGCAGGATAGACATACCTCTGAAGGCGTTCATTTTGAAAGTAGTAATGGTAGTGTTGTTGATCGATATGGCCGTGTTGAGTAGAGCTTGTATGTGTGTAGTGTAAAGTTATTGTTCGAAGTCAAGTGTAGATTGGAATGATGCTCTCCTCCGCAGTGAGCGTGCTTCCTCCTCTTATGTATAAGCCTGCTCCGTGGCCAAGTCCTTGATCATTACATGGCACTGCTCCTAGTCGTATGAAATCATCCCGACTTGTCCCGGGCTCTGTTTGGAGAATGGGCGTCCTGCGTCGAATGACCTTCAGACGACGCGCCACCCTCGCCTCATGCGCCTAGTGGGGTGACGATAACGCGTGCAAGCCCCACTGTTAGCCGCTAGCGCGGCTGAGATTTTCAGGGCCCATGTTGAGCCTCGTCATAGCCCAGACTCGACAATCGGCCAAACTGCGTTTTTCTTCTTGCTAAGTAGGAAAATATCCTGTGTCTTGGCCGGTGCGGGTCAACAATGACTCCTTTTCTCGTTGAAAAGAAGCGCCTACTGGTCCGGACAGATGGAAGGTCAAGTTCTGCTGCCCCCTTGTTGGAACATTGGCGGCATGCTATCAGTGGAGAATGGGCTGGACTGGTGACTTAACATTCACATGTCAGACGTCTCAAGTGGTTTCCATCAACGTCATCGCCTTATCGGAATGTGCTGGGCCAATCTTTTGATAACGTGAAGCCCTGCCAAGACCGGCAACACTGGCTGTGTTTTTCCCACACACCGCCGCTTGAATTATATTAATTCCGTGTTATCCGATGTGTCTGGTACTATTTGTTACAGCTTCATCTCGGTGTCACACATTTACACCAACATACCCGCATTTCTGCTGAGGCTGTTCTACGTGACTCGTCCCATGCAGAGATCAAAGTAAAGTAAACAAGATACCACAGTAAGATTTTCTTGTGGACTTGATGCTATGTGTCCGCTTGGTGGTAATGAACATGACCAAAGGTTATGATGTACCATATCATTCCTCTTGTCATTCAAGTACTGGCATAGACATACCCCGCTCACTCCAACCTGATATGCGAAGTCAAGAACACAACGCGAACGCTATCCTAGCCCCAGACTCCTAGTCAACCGCAAGCCCTAATGTAAAAATGGACGAAAAGAACATGCACATAAATACCCTTTTCCACCCAGCCCTGTCTAATATTACGGCCTCGCCCCCATGCACCTCATCCAGTGATCCCCAAAAAGGCCAATCATGTAACATGAAAAGAACCCATAACCTCGTAACCCCTTATGCCAGCAAACCCACGCATAAATCCGTGACTGCAAAAAAACCAAAAAAAGTTCAGATAATGTCATTCATGCACTACCAAGTCATCACATAAGCGACCGTCGCTTCAATTTCCTTCTACTCAACCGTCAGTAAAAGGACACATGGGATTCAATAGGATAAAAGAAACTTACGTAGCACCCCAACTATACCTACTCTTCGGCCTTTGCCCCTCAATCTCATTCGCCGTATATGGCCTTGTCGACGCGGCTGGAGTTTCCATAATCGTCGCGTCGTGCGCGGCGTAGTATCGTTGTTGCTGCGCCAAACTCGTGCGTTTTGGCTTGGCGGCGACGCCCAAGTTTTGAGGAACAGGAGAAGTAGCGGGTGGGGTCGTCGAAGCCCGTTCGATGGGCTTCGGCGGTTTGATGGAAGCAGAGGTTGAAGGACGAGGAGTAGCATTCTTGTCTTTTGGGACCAGGACGCGGCGGATGACCGAGTCTTGGGTTTTGGACCCCACCATTTTTTGCATTACGTCCTTGAAGCTTGCGCTTTTGCTGCGTGTGCCTTTTGCGCCTCGGAGCTCAGGGGGTGGCAGGTCCTGTGACATCAAGTTCCAACGAGTGTTGATGCTCTTTATCGAACGCTTACCCCGGACATGTCGCACTGGTGTCTGTTGGATGCTTCCCTCACGTTCTTGGACTTCGACGTCTTGGGGTACTGGGGCAGAGGTGTTTTCTTCCGACGGCGTTGTTGATGGCGGGCTCATTTCCTGAATCAGAGTTGCGCCGCTAGAACGGGCGGATGTGCGTTCAGTACGCTCCGTTGAAAGCACCCGTTGGCGTGGACGATGCGTTACAAGTCGCTCACGGTCGAGCATGAGTTGGTATTTGGTGGCTTGGAGCTCAGCGATGGACTGCTTCAGACGCTCAATCTCATCCTGGTCCTGAGTGTGGAAGGTAGCGGCGGCATCCAGTTCTCCTTGTATCTCCTTGATATGCTGGTCCTTATCCACGATGGTTTTCCTGAGCTTCTTTGCCTCTTCTTCTTTGATCTTGAGCGTGCGTCGAAGTTCGACTAATTGATCTTCCATGCGCTGGAAATGTACCTGATGGACCAAACTTGGGCGCACAGTATTCGTATCGTCATTGACGGGTTGCTCCGATTTGTACTGCTCTCGGAACGCTTCAGATTCTCGTATGGCAGCGAACATTCGTGTGTTTGCGTCAGCTAACCGCTTTTCAAGGGCCGTCACCTCCGCATAAAGCCGGAGGTTTTCTTCTTGGGTACTATCGAACATGGCTTCAAGTTCATTCTTGTCGTGATCGTTCTCGTTGATCGTGGGCAAGCGACCGGGTAGAGGGCTCCCTCGGCTTTCCGATTGTGAGTCTGCTTCTGCAAGCCTAATAGTCACTTCCTCTAGCTTTTCCTGTGTTTGAACGTGTCTTTCGCGCTCTTCCTTGAGGGCCTTCTTGGTCTTCTTCGCCACATCCCACGCCCTTGACAACTCTGCTTGATGATTGACAACATACTCGTTGGGTTTCGCAATGGCAGCAAGTTGTTCTTGTAGTTTGGCGATGATAAGGTCCTTGTCTTCCTCTCCGCCTTTCGAATCTCGACCCTTTCGAACTCGCAGCAACCGGACCTCAAGCGCATGGTCGCCTTCATCCGCCTCGTCGGAAAGTCCCAGGTCCGCTTGTCGTTCTATTGAGATGATTCGCTCCTTCATCAGCCTCAACTGGGCATCCTTTACCTCTATCGTTGCCTTGTGTTGCCGAGCCATCTCTTCTAATCTGACGTCGCGCTCCTTGATGCACGCGTCCTTTTGCTCGTTGCCCTTGCGGAGTGCAAAAAGTTCAATGTCTTTCCGATATACAATGGCTTGGTGGTCTCGTCCTAGATTCTGCTTGACGATCTTCAATTCCTCGCGTAGGTTGGCATACTCGGCAAATGTCCCATTGAGCGTCTCGCGCGCATTAAAAAGTTCCTCCTTTGAAATGCGGAGCTGGGTTTCGGTGGCTTTGTGGGCAGTCTTTAATTCCGTGAGGGAGCGCTGCAATCGCACAATTTCTCTATCTTTGGCGTCAAAAGTTATTAAGCTTGTGTCGGATGTGCTTGGCTTTTGCGCTAAGGTAGGCATGAGGTTTCTGGTTCCGGTGATTGCGGCACTTGCGTTGGCAGATGTTGTGCAGGTCTCGATATCTGGGGTTTCAGAAGGCGATGTTTGCTGGGTTGAATGGTGTGATTCGCCGCCGACGATAGCGTCGAACGGCGTGCAGCTGACCGCGTGCTGAAACAGGTCAAACGCAACCATGACAAAAACTAACGCCAGTGAATGGCGGCCTTCAAACTTGTGGCTGGCGCAAAAAAGGACGACCAGGGATTGCAAAACGTTTGCGAGTGATGTTTGATGTCTACTCGCCCACGGACTTGGCGAATTCCCGATGAGTAAGATAGACGCGGTAAGCAGAACCACAATGATCACCGTCCAAAAGGGCAGATCAAAAGCAAAGTCAAGTGGTCCAAGGAGCCCTTCGGAACGAAGCCCTTCTCCTGATTTAGATGCGTCTGCTTGAAGTGCGTTGCGTGTGGAGGCGATCAATCGGTAGATTATAGCCGTTAACGGCTCGTCGACTACACTAAGGATTAGCGTGCTGTCAATACAAGTGATGCATAGAAATAGCAAGTTGATCGTATGCACCTACCTGGCTTCGATGATGGCGGATCAAATACCAATCGATCGTACGCGATACAGACGGGTGGTGTGGCCGTAGAGTTCGCGTCGAATGTCAACGTCGATGAAGATCTTGGAAGGAATGGCTCTGTGGGCAATAAAGTAGTCCAGCCACCAAACAAAAGAAAGCTGGTAAGCATGATTGCTACCGACCCGGCGGCGATCAGCAGCGGGTAGCATTGTGCATGGCTCCGGGCCACTTTGCAGACTGTTGTCATAGTGGGACAAGCCAGACCCGGCCAGGTGGGCATAAGGCTGGAAAAGAACCGTTCGGATTGGTGAGCCGAGCGGAGAGCGACCCAGGAGCGGGGACGTGTTTAACTTTAGGCGTTTAGAGTTAAATTCGTGGTATTTGTTATGTATACAACTGGCCAAGATGCAATGCGATGAAAGAATAGGGAGAGAAGGCCGCCAAATCATGTAGGAATATCTAGCCAACAAAAAAAAAGGTAGAGAGCTGAAGAGAACACCCAAGTTGGAGCGTTGACGAGTTCATAGAAGATACGCATAATAAAACAGCTGACCCGCGACACCTTGGAGGGATGCATCCAAACGCAATGTCGTCGGATCAGCAATGGACAATGCAACAGGGATCCCCGCAGCAGCACCCAGAACAGAGTACTTAATACTCAAAATTCAAATCGCTTAAAACCCTCGACCAAGCCGTCGCTAATCTTTGACGGTATCGCCCATACAGGGAGGTAATCCTGTACCTCATCAAAAGCAGGGATGTCACCGGTGTTGGCATCCGACCACAGGCACACAACCCTTCCAGAAAGCTTGGATTGTTCTTCGGCGTTCCATTTCACGCTTACGTTCCAATGCTGACCGAATTCGCGATGCCAGAGGCGCACTTCCCGGGATCCCGCTGCGCCAACAGGCTTAAAGCGGGGATCTGAAACGGCGCCAGCAACGGCTAGGTCGGTAACGGGGGAGTCGAACAGAATCCGGCATGCTCGCGTGTTTTGGCCGATGACACGTATTGTCGCTGAGTTGGAGCTGTTGCTCTTGGAAATCGTGTAATCGATCCATTTGTCGGTTGCGGGCTTATGATCCGATAGAGTTGTTCGGGTTGTAGCTGTGGCGGAGACTACTTTGGCCGGTAGACCCTGCCATTCGCACGTCTTGAGCTCCTTACGTGTCGCAACGTCAGGCGTCATGCAAGTGACCTGCGTGCCTTGCGCACTGGGTATTTCGCTGACAATGCGCTGCACGTAGCCATCCACACCAGTCAGGGATACGGTATTGACACCTGTCTCACAGTTGACTCGCTGAACAAAGTAGACCTTCAAGCGATGATCCCTGCTGAAGGGGAATGCCACCAGATTGTAAATGACAGTCCCAACACATACGAGGAAGAGAAAGGTCGGGACATGGTAGGTGAAACGGTGGATGAAAGGGCCGATGGGCGTCAGCAACAGCACGCTAAGCGACGCAATAGCGAGGTAGATGAACAGTGTCGAGTTGCCATCTGACGGCGTCTGGTAAAGAGCCGATGTCAGAAGAAGAGCCACCTGTCCGACTAAGATTATGACGATGGGCGCCAGGAGCAGCAGTTGTATGATCCAGATCCAACTTGGTAGTTTTCCGCTCCACTCTTGCTCCCCAAGATAAACAGTCCCGGGATCCATTCGCCGTGCATGATCGTCGCCTCCGTCGCTGGTGGAATCTCGCCTGGTTCCGTATCTTGCAAATCCGCGGCGATTACCACGCAACAGAGATGTAGTTTCCGTCGCGTCATCATCTGGTACCGCACGCTCGTCGGACCGTGATGCGCTGGTACTACCCGTGACAGGGCGACTGGTGGGCTCTGAATCCTGACGCAAGTGGTTCGCTTGATCGATATGACGTGCATACGCAGACTTGGTCGGTGCAAAGAAGAGCTCTATATACGAGAGTAGAATGGCGAAGAATACGGCGGCAAAGTAGAACAGCATCGGGTAGCCACCTGCAAGTTGGTAGTTGTTGACGAAGACGGTGGTCACGATGAGCAGGATGAAGGACCCGATAAATAGCCATATCAATGCGTACATGCGCTGGAGAGCAGAGGGTCGCATGGCATCTGCGCCACGGGACAAGAACCAGGCGACTGTGAACCAAGCAGAGAGCATCATACTGTCACTACGGTCAGCGACGGTGCTGGCAGGTGTCTAGCTGACTTACCTCCAGACGGCATAGGGGCTGCTGTAGACGATCATGGCATTGAATCGAACAATGAGATAAGCTAGCGCGACGACGATGGCTGTAGCAGCGACGAAGATGATGGGGAATCGGAAGAAGCCTCGCCAGCCGTAAAGGTGTACTGGATGGTCATCATCTGAAGAATAGACATATGCCTTGCGAGCAAACAGGTAATTCTTGTCAAGTCGTGAAAGTCCCACAGTAAGGCCAATAAGAACAAGAGGCGCAACTACCAACATGGTAACACACAATGCGAATAAAGTGTGTAGCCGGAACACAACAAAAACTTTGCCAAAAAGATCGAACCAGACGCCATCGCTGCCAGTGCCTGCGTTGACCCTGCCATTGTCGACAGTCTCCGGGCCACTGAACTGGGTGCCGGTTACAGAGGCCAGTCCGGCAGTCGAAGCCAAAGCTGCTGACAGCATATGCCAAATTGATTTTATCGATGTTTCTCGTGCCGAGTCTTCGATTGTATGGTACCGTGCTCTGGGCTCCAGGAAAGCAATATCAAGTCCACGGAGACCAAGATCGCCATGGAAGACGCGATAGTCGGTCTCACTTCGAACGAGGCCCTTTTTGAAGCCATCACCACTCACAACTGTTCCATAAGGATACTTTGACTTTCTATAGAAGCGCGTTACTTCAGTATCGGTGCTTCTAAAGAGGGCAGCTCGGCCACCAGCACCAACACCCTCCAGGTTGACAAAAGTATGGGGGACCTGGGATATGGGATTTCTCATGAAAGCCTTGGCACCATTCAGGTAGTCTTCTTCGCCGTTGTTGAGCAAAAGAAGGATCGTCCGTTTGGGCCAGTTGCGGGATTCAGTAAAGTACGAGAGGAGCTGGAGTACCGTGACAACACCGACGCCATCGTCAGTCGCCCCGTAGCCGGAGCTAACAGAGTCATAGTGTGCATTGACGAGAACGCCACCATTGTCTGGTCTGCGCTCAGTGGAGTTGAAGGGTTCATCGTCCTGGGAGCCACGGATGGCGACGATCAGATTGGTCCCTTCAAAATATACAGAAGTGGTACCGGATGAGAAGGTGACATTTGCGGTTAAGTCATTCAGCACTTCAATCTGACCGGGCTGGGCATCCTTTTCGGCGATGATGGCCTGGATGCGCGATAGAAGGTATTGACGCACGTCATCATTAGCATGGCTATTATACGGATGAAAGAAACGGGTGATGTGCTGGAGGTCTGCCCAAGCTTGGGCAAGGTTGATACCCGGAGGAGGATGCGAGGGATAGTCCGGGACGGTCAAGTGGGTGGTGAGCAGAGTGGCTAACAGACCGACGTAGATGGCGGTGGTGAAGAAGATGACGGGCGCGGGCGTGAAGGAGAAGGGGTTATAGCGGGCCATGTCTGCACCGGTGGAGCCGTACGCATAGGCTCGTTGAGTCGCAGACGAGGCAACGGCAACAGAGCAGTCACAGCAATGACGCGAAGTGGAGAGGCTGGGGTGGTGTTGAGGTCTCTATGGGTCCACGATGGGCGGGGTGCGGGCGTCGTGCATGCATGTGCAGGCGTCGTGGGTCATAGCTCCATACTTACTAGCGCCTGCCGCCACGCGACCGCCAAGAAACTGCCTTTTCCCATTCCCCCACACATGCTCGTCTCGTCCCGTCCCATCTCATCTTAACCTCTCCCTCCGCTGTCGATGAGATGGAGGCACGGAGATATTATGGATATGTCTGGCGACTCACGTAGCGCCCACTTGATGCATCCAGCACGTACGCCCATCGACGCAGTCTCTATCGACGGGTGGTTGTAATCCTCGGATTGACAATGTCTGAGGAAGCAGTCCATATTCGACACTACGACCGCATGTCACGAGATATGAACAGGAACACGAATACGGATGAGGATACGGATACGGATATCTACAAGGATACCAACGTGATCTTGAATGTGCCCGTGTTGCCGCCCCTCCCACGACTTGTCGCTACACCGACCGCCTACTCTGGTAGCTGCCTCGCCCTTAGTCCCCAGCTCATCGCGTACCTCCAAACCCTCCTCGCCCCGCCGCCATGTATCACAGTCTCGATAGGAAGTGGCTTCGGCCTCCTTGAAGCATACATCATGAACGGCCCTGATACCTTTCATATCATCGGTGTTGAGGTCGCACCGAGCCCTAATAAATACCTTCCCTCTTCCCACCACCGCCTCGTCACTGGCACCCGCTTTCTTGAACCGTTGGCGGAAACAGCCCGGATCTGGCTGTTTGTGTATCCAAGACGCATTGGCCTGATTCAGGAATACATGGCGACGTATGGACAGGGGGCTGTGGAGAGGATAATATGGGCTGGACCCAAGGCCGATTGGGACGACTACAGGGCATGCTTTGCCAACTGGACTTTACAAGAACAAGAGGCCGATATGGTCGGTGGGCGTGCGTGGGAGTTGATTGTTGTTGCAGATAAAAAGTCGATCTGAGATTAGGTGGCGCAAGACGAGAGTTGCTTTAGAAACACTGTTTTTGCAATCACTTGTGAATCTTACATGTTGTTGGAAGCAGATGGCCTGCAAGTGTTTCTCGTCGTACTCAGGGCAGATGCTGAGTTGCGTAGCCCACTTTCTCTGGGCTATATCCCACATACACTGTCACTGCGAAGATTCATATGACCGCTCCATTTGCAAAAAGCAACTACGTTTGGTATCATCGTGTGCCAGCGCTTTCTTTGCCACAGATGATGCTTCTAGACTCAAAGCAACTTAGTCCCATCTTGATACGATCATCAACTTATTGCATTCGGGCTCGTGGAAAGTGCTCTGATGTTGAGGAGGCTCACAACATCGCTGACATTCAAACTACACCCTCTATCTGGCAATACGATCGAGCACGGCTGGAACATGTCCGGATTTGCTTGCCTACCTCATCAGTCCAGATGATTTAATATTCAAAAGGTAGTTTTTATTCAATATGTAGCCTTCTGATTTTTCACCATAACAAACTTATTGTTAAGTATATTCCCAACTTGGCCGTTAGCGTACATCTGTGCGCAGCTTTTTGTACCATCTGTAGTCAAAATCCAAAGCAGGCCCAACAATTACAATTTCTTAATGATAAAAAAAAAAGCGAGAACAAGCCATCTTGATTTACTGCAAGAACACGGAAAATCCCGTTCAGACCACTGCATAATTGTAGTCCGCCACTCCGCTCCCAAAGGTATTTAGCGCACTGCAATGAGCTATGCGACGATGAGGAGTCTGCAACTATCGCAAGCCTCGATGGAACAAAACGCTGTCAAATGGCTTGGCTTGTACGGTGCAGTGCAGCTGAGTTTAGTCCACATTTTCCTCGAGGATCCGGCTTTTCCGTTGGTAGCGTTCGCTGGAGCTCTCCCAAGAACGGGACCGTTTCCTCGCTACACATGCCAGCTAATGCCGCAGGGACGATCACCCCATCATTCCTTGTAGCTTTAGATGCGTTGACGAAAGAGGTGATGCTACTTTTCCAAGTAAATATCTATACTACGTAAACGTACGAGGAGTAGAAGACGCCAGCGTCAAGGCTTGCAGATCAGATGCGTTGGCTGATTGCCCATTATACGTTTGCAGGCTAGAGTGGAGAAAAACGAGCTACTTTATCGCATTGATTGTATTGATGCATCGTGAAAAAATAAACGCTCTCCCATGGCTCGCCGGCCACGTACTGCGGGGACCCGAGGGGTTTCGTATTACAGCCACTTTTGATGAAGCTCTGTCTGGTGTTCTCGTAAGTAAGCAAGATTTCCGACGACTGTGGTCAAACACAATCCAAGCCATTATATTAGTTGTTGGATATCGCACATAGGATCCTCTTGAACAAAAAAACACCCATTTCAGGAAACCTTGGTCAACACTATTGCTTGTCTCGAGTAGCGGGGTACACGCTGCGCGACGTCACGAAATGCGGGCAGAGATGTAACAGTAGACGTGTTGCTTGATCCGTGGGTCCGAGGCGGAAGATTCATGCAGGTTGAAAGCATTTCACAAATATCGAACTATTTTGGTGCCGTATTGGGAAGTTTTAGTATTACAAGCCAGATAACTTCTGGTATGGATAGTCGTGGTCGTGGTCTGATTGTTGAACTTTATTATGTGTTCAAGCCACACGAAGGCTTGATTGATAGAGTTTTTTTTTGAAACCTTTCCACGATTACGACTACGATGATGATCTGCACATTACGACTCTGTAAATTGTACCATGGAGACACCATCAACATCGTGGCGCTGGAAAGAAAATTCGGGCATGAGAAGAGCGGGCATGAGCAGAACGAGGCAAAGTGGGTTTACGAACATGACCGAATCCTGGTATCCTAGCTTTGGTCCTTGGAAGCGGCTAGACGGTTCGCTTGTCGTACTTAGTGTGTAAGTAGTAGTGTACCTTGCACAGCCACAAGACGGCCCCTCGCTCATTTTTCATCGAACGTGCCGATACGCATCTCACTGCGGCACAATGCGCTCGGAAGCGCATGCCTTTAGCTACCGCTTAGATGCAGTAACCTCGCCTGCGAAGAAAAGCATGGCATTTGAATGGAACGTTCTGATGACTTGATTCCGCTATGCTCTAGTTAAGCTGACACGCAAGTAGACTGCCCATTAACGCTGCTAGTGGTGCCGTCTTGAGACAAGACTGTCAAAATCAGACGTGAATACCTGATGGCACGTGCCTGGACGCAAGGTGAACAGTGTATAGCTGCTGGCGCTAGGCGATATTCACGGCATCGAAAAGCCATGTTTCTGCGCAACAGACAGATGGTTTGGAGATACGGTAAGGTACGTGGGATCCAGGCTGTCCAAAGACGTGTAGCTCCTCAATAGTACGGAGGTCGTGTACGTAAATAGCGTCCCATTCGGTGTGCCCGCTGCTCGCGACACTCTGGAATGCTACCTCGAGAGCTGAAGATGGCTAGCTGAGAGTGCAATGACGCATGATTTCTATTTTGGGCGGTGCAGCACAGACGATGATTGGCTCACCGCCTTACCATCATGTGGCGAACCCCAAAGCGGCCAACTATGACTGACTGCGTACGAGCGTGAGCGGCAACTCAGGTCGGGCCGGATCATCAGCCTCGTATTACACTTTTTAAACTTTGCCGTGATCCCCATCTGCAAAGGGTATAAAGCAGAGTTGGCATACCCACTTGTCATGCTTCATCACCAGTCGTCTACTACCATCTAATCACAACTACGTACTCTCGTTTGATTCAAAACATTCCGATAACTCTCGCTCACTCCCTCAACTCCAGCATATCCGCAACCTTCACCATGCGCTACTCTTTCTTCGTTCTGGCTACAGCCGGCGTCCTCGCCTCAGCTCAATCCCCCATTGCTCTCGGCGAGAACTGCACTCCAGGCGGCACTCCATGTGCCAACGGCGCCAGTTGCTATGCTACCAACTCCATGCTCCAGCCCCGATGCGGAAACTTCCAGTCTTCTTGCACAAGCGATGAGCAATGTGCATTCAACACATGCAATGGAGGCTTCTGCAATGGCCCCAAGCCTTCTTCTTCTTCAGCGCCAGTCCCTTCTTCCACCCCGCCAGCTACATCCCCCATTGCTCTCGGCGAGCAGTGCACTCCGGGCGGTACTCCATGTGCCGACGGTGCTAGTTGCTATGCCACCAACTCTATGCTCATCCCCCGATGCGGAAACTTCCAGTCTTCTTGCACAAGCGACAAGCAATGCGCATTCAACACCTGTAACGGCGGATTCTGCAACGGTGTCAAGCCTTCTTCTTCAGCACCAGCCCCTTCCTCAACCCCACCCACCGTCACAAGCAGCTCGACTGCGCCCGGATGGAGTCCTGCCCCTTCACCCACGATTGTTGCGCCCGCTGGCTCTCTTCCTCTGGGCGCTGAGTGCAACCCCTATGTCACGCCTAGCCAGTGTATCGCGGGTGTACAGTGCTGGGCCAGCAACGCCGGTTTGATCGCGAGATGCGGTAACTTCAACGCCGCATGCAAGACCGATGCGCAGTGCGCTTACAACACCTGCAACAACGGCCTTTGCAACGGTCTTCGTGCATCTTCTTCTGGTCTGCCTGTGGCTGCTTCCAGCCCAATCCCGGGAACCTTGAGCGTCAAGCCTACCCCTTCTTCCGGCTCGGGCGGAAACGGTACCGTGCACCCCTCTCACACTCCCACACCCACCTCTTCTGGCACCCCAGAGTTCACTGGCGCCGCATCAGCTGAGAAAGTAGCGGGCGGCATTTTCGCAATTGTGTTTGGCGCAATCGCTTTGGGCATGTAAGGACTTGGCGGTGACTAGCAATGAACTAATGATGGATTGATTGCATAGAATAATGTTTGCTTTTTTTGCGCTCGATTCTGTCTCTCTTTACTGTTCACAGCGTGTATATACATATAGAGTAATAATGCAAATAATCACAATCTTTTACAACAAACCAGCTCTTTGTCGGCACTATATCCTTTGCTTGTTTTGGCTGGGAATATATCGATATTCTTCAAATGCCTCTACACAATCACGCTCGATGAAAAGTACTCTTGTACTTGACGTCAGTAATTGGTTGTTGTAAGATACGGAAAGGTAAGAGTAAAGACCATTATAGTCATGGTAGTCGTAGTTTCTTTTCATTGGGTCTATTAAGCTATACGTAGATCAAAGTCTGGAGATTCGTGCAACATCAGATTTCGTCTGGCCTCTCAACGCCTCGAGATACTGATCACTAATCGTCCGCTTCTGCTCATCCGGAATGTACGCCCATTCGCTTCGCTCGACGATCTCTTTTTCTCTCCATGCCGCCATTTCATTTGCGAGCCACTTGACACCCAATTTCGCCGTTTCGCCAACGGCCTCCATGGGGATTAGATGGCCGACACCTTGGACCGTCACCTCCGCCACCCGACCCTTGGCTGCACCACCACTTCCGCCAATGCCCACGCCCGTTGACTCGACCTTGTCAGCAGTCGGCTCGCAGGCCGTGTAGTGGGATTCGCTGCCGAACACGTACAGCACCGACGGCTGCACATATGGCAACATGTGGAATGCGACGACGGACTCGGCGCGCTCAAATGGCTGGCCCGGCAGTGCCGCCTCTGGCGTGTAATCTGCATACGCCACGCTGTTTGGCCCGCCTAGCTGCGCGCCGATCCCAGGGTAAGCGTGTGCATCGAAGGTTGGCCGGAGGAAAGTGAAGACTTCCTGGTGCTTTGTTGTGGTGAGCGTGACAGCGTCAGTGGAGGCATCTTCGTCCGTCACGTGAGCTTCGGCTCCGGCCACTTGCATGTGGCGCGGGTACACAGCCGTGGGTAGATTGCGCAAGCCATACTGCAGCCACCGCTGCAACACACGCTCATCCCACTTGCGGTAATACTTGTTCCTGCGAAAGTCCTCGGCTGCAGCGGAACGGGACGGCCACACATCGCGGCGGCGGGCCGAAGCGAGCGCAGGTGTGCTGTAGCCCGCTGCAAACACGTGCCGGTGAATGATGGGGTCGATGAGGATCAAAGTCTCTAGGAGACGTGGGTGGAGGAGTGCGAGACTGACGAGGATTGTGCCACCCGCGCTGTGGCCGATACCAACAATAGGGCGTATCATTTGGTCGCGAAATGTATTAACCATGTGTAGGAGATCACGGGCATGGTCGGATGCGCAAGCTGCCTTTTTGTCTCAGTATGCTTTTCTCTTATGCTTCGTCTTGTCCCATCTTCTGTTAAGGGGTGAGGACAAAGGCATGGGGCTAATTACGCTCGTTTCCCAGCTTGTATTCATTGAGTACGCCACTGGCTCCTTGGTTTGCCACGTCTGCAATCCAGATGCTGCGAATAGAAACCCCCGTCGACTTCAACCGGCTATGCATGTCGGCCCAAAGCGGTTCGTACAGCTCCTAGGCAAGTATAAGATGCAGTCCAGCTAAGACAAGTTGCGTGAATACCTTGGGGAATCCCTGAGCATGAGTTCCGATGATGGTGACATCGCCGGGCTGAGGATCTTGGTTGTCATGTGGGATGTATTGCTTAATACTAAGATGAAGCAGCTCTTCTTGTTCGTGGGCTGTGGAGCGAGGATAGCCCCGAATATGTTGGCAAGGAATTATATGTTCTTTAATCTCAAATGGGAACGGCGGCATGGTAGCTCTTATATCTAGAGCAAGTGATTGACGCGTAGGTAATTTGGGGCAGTAGTATTGTTGTTCCGAGAGCCTATAAGCAGTGATGGTATAATATAGATTGTCGTATACTATAGGACCATAGTTCGGCTAAAACAAGCAGGTTACAGCTCCTCACGACAGTAACGTATAGTCACAATGACAGACGCATTAGTCATATTCCCAGAGATCATCTTACAGGGGTACTGTTAAGCAGACTGCAAGATCAAATATCATGCTTCATGACTAATATAATCTCATTTCCCGTCATACTTAATCTTTATCTAAATCTAGTCTAGTAGGCAGAATTTTCGTGACGACTTAAGACTCAAACTGCATCTACTTATAGTCTCGAGAGAGATTTATCCTGTTAATATGTCATGCACTCGTTGGCTTACTTCGCCAGGTGTTTCAGATTCGGACACAAATAGCAGCGACATAATCGCTAAAATGAAGCGTAACTGCTGTCGAAATCGCGGTCTTTGGTGTCCCTGCATGATCAAAGCGGTCAGAAGAGACCATAGATAAGGTAACTATGTCCTCCATCAGCAGTTTTCAGGTTATTCATCGATGCAATGCTTACTTCATCCTGAAGCTGACAAGATATGGCGCCCCATTTGCCGCCGCCGCCGCCACCACTTGACAGTAAACTGGAGAGGATCTTCTGCAATCTAGCACTCTGCTGTGATCGTATTTCGCCAATTAGTAGGTGCTCTGCTGACTTCAAGACCTCGTTCTGGTACGGCTGGAGCTCTCGGGCCTTCCATGAATGGGTTTTGCCGCGTAGCTCTTCTAAAAGATTCGGCAGACATTTCTTCCGGCTCATGTACTGTGCGACCGAGCTTTCTGAGTCTTCGTCGAACTGAGCTGTGTAGAAAGTGGTTATGGCTGAATCGAGGTCCTGAAATCCTGCTCTATGAGCACAGCGGATCAGGTATTCAATTTTCTCTTCTATCGTTTGCTCGAACGTTGCATCGCCATCTGTCAATAGTGTGTCTTCACTCATTGAGCCAGGCGAGTCACTTGCACGCTCAGTTCCACGCCGTTGGTCCACAGTCTCACGACCCTGAACATGGCCATGAGAGAATTGAAAAGAATCAATAGGCGAGTGGAGGTGTATGTCGTTAAGCATCCCCATATTCAGGTTGGTATATTGAGTAGGGGACTTTGGGCTCATAGGGTGGCGGTGCGTCTCGCCTCTTGACGAGAACTCCTTTTCAACTGTTCATCTCAGCACAGATACAATAAGAAGTTGGGAATACGCACCTCGCACTGGAACAGGGGTTCTATCAGCTACTTGCGTGCCCAGATGAGCGTAGAAGTCTTCATTTTGTTCATTGCCACCTCCTTGCGTGTGGCAGTACCATATGTTATCAATGACCGAATCTGATCTGCAAGCGCCTTCTGAATTCAAGAAAAGCTCATTTTCTGGAGTAGACAGCGGTGGACTTTGCTCCTAAACGATCAAAATCAGCACCTCGAGGGTTAGTAATGCGTTTAGGTGTCATATACCTTTTCCCTTTCTTGAATGGATGCACCAAGATTACTATCCATACTCGAATGAACATCTTCAGCGGCGTGCAGTAAGATTCGTTGATTGCAATTTACTGTTTCTCCATCCTTTACCGCTAGCAATCTGGCCTGCGTTGCCACCTGTTCTTCCAACTCTTCTATCCTTCGCTTGACATTTCGACCTGAAATCCCGTCAGCCCAATGAGAGCAATTTGTATAACATACATACGATAATTTCGCTGAGCCAAGCGATTCTGAGCCCTTTTCTTTTCAACAATCTCATTCATGCTCTTCCAATCATCTTGCGACGGGACGCCATCAGGCCCTACTCTAGACGCTATTTGGTGAGCCATGGAGAATTTGCACCGCCCGGAATCAGGATTGCAACATAATAAAGGCAGGATTGTAATCATACAAAATTTATAACAAACTGCTAGTACTCCATAGGTCGTAACCCCAGTCAAACTTCGCCTCAAAACTCCTAGCCGCTAGATGCGGACCGGCTTCGGGGCGACTACGGTAATGGGCCGTTCCGGCTTGGAGTGACGCCATGCGTCACCAAAATTGCTACATGTAATCAGTACCAATCATCTTTCACGAAGATTGAAATGGTGTCTCTGTCTTCATAAAGCCTGTCGTGCTGGGCGCTTCCATCGACCGATATCTTGAATGCCGCTCGATTGACGTCCATCGATCTTCTTGCGCGCCTGATATTAAACCGCACATCGCACTGGTGAGCAGCCAGATCATTGCGGGAATCGAGTAAGTTCCAGTGAACCCTCGGTCCTATTGACCCGAAAGTGAAAGCTACTGGTGGCTCGAAGCCAAAACATACAGTAAGAAGAAGGGCATATGCACTCGGCGAAAGATTTAATCACCCACGGTGCACACGATTTTTAGGTGATCACGCAGAAAGATTGTCCCAATTAAGATGTCTAGCCTAGGGCTTGCAAATTTATCTCTCCACAGGCATACCGAAGAGTATGGTGAACATGTTACGATAAGGTTTTCTTCAAAGGGAGATAGCCCCTACTTTCCAATGAGACGCTGAGCCTTTCAAACCTCTTCAGCTGCGCATGGGCTTATTCAGGTGAGTTGCAGTAGTTAAGCGGATGTATCTTTGGGTATAGATGAGCGATGACGTGTTGCTTGCACCTGCCTGACCAGGTAGCCCTGGTAAACTTCTACTCTATGAAACGTATCTGTTGAAACCTCATGCGGCGTTTAAGCATAGCTCCCACTCTATAATGCGTGGACCTGTACCTAAAGCATGCTCTCTATACCTAATAGAGCAACTCCGACCCGAGTTAATATAACGGCTGCAGCATCATTCTCGAACGTAAATACCTCTCACATTGACGCCATATAAGTGGATCATCTTATAACTGCTGAGCATTCACAAACAATAGAACTGTCAGCAGTAGTCACCTTCAGTCAAAGTATGCCGTTATGTGGGGGGAGGGGGGGAGGGGGGTGCTCTCCTCATCCTCTCGTTGAGGTAGCCGCCGTAGGGAACAAAAGGGAAGACCGAGGCAATAACTACCTAAGCAGATTGCAAAATCATCCCTATTTCCCATGGAAAAGCTCGATCGGAAATCTTTCACCACCTCCAGGTCTCTGACATACGTCTTTTATGACTCTTCCCCCATAACAAAAGAGCGGTCGGGTCTCAGCCCCGCTCTCCTGCTACTCCATGGGTATCCAGATTCGGCGGAAATATGGTCTCAGGTTGTGCCAAAGCTGCTATCATATGGCTACCGCATCATCATACCGGATCTCCTTGGCTATGGTGATACCGCCAAACCTGCAGATCCAACGGCATACAACTCCAAATCTATGGCTATCGATCTGGCCGAGATACTGGCCGCGGAGGGCATTACGCATACCATCGTCATTGGCCACGACTGGGGCTCATTTCTAGCGCAGCGCCTATACTTCTGGGCTCCTGAGTGTGTCGCCGGCCTTGTCATGCTGAATGTCGCCTACTTCCCGCGCCTGGAGCGCGATTTCAATTTTGACCAATTCAACGCGGCCGCTGAGCGCACCACGGGTCTCCTGCGCTGGAGTTACTGGGGTTTTTATGCTTCTGAGGCCGCGTCTGCTATCTGTTCTGCTCACGCAGACAGCTTGTGGTGCGTAATTCACTCAGTGCGCGAAGAACTTCGCAGCAGCCTCTACGCTTCCAAAGGCGCCCTCCAAGCCTTTCTTGAAAACGACGAGAAGTGCCCATCACGCGATTATCATGTCGCAGGGAGGGATTTGAAGAGAGAGTGGCTCGAGCGGATGGAGAAGAATGGATTCGAGGGGCCACTCTGTTGGTACAAGGCCATAGTAGGCGGTATTACGCCAGCTGCGGAGAGTGAGCTCGATCCCGATCGTCTAGTCGTCAAAGTACCAGCCCTGTTCATTGGCGCTGGTAAAGATCAGCTTTGTTTGGCCAGTGCCATTAGAGTCCCTTGGGCACAAGGGTTCTTACCCGATTTGCAGATCAAGCAACTGGATAGTTTCCATCGACCTATGCTTGAGATGCCTGAAAATTTGGCTCGGTCTATCAAACATTGGCTTATCAAGAAATTTGGCTAACAAATCTGGTGGCTGGATCTGCGCTAAAGCTGACTGAGGCTGTGTGAAATCCACAAGAAAAATATCAAGACAGTAAACTAGCATTTGATGGACAGAGAAATATAGATAACGCCAAAATCTTGTACTAGCCAGTCTCTGTAATTCCAGGCTCGTCTTGGCTCCCTAACCTATAGGTTATGGCAGATTAGCAAAACCTACATGTCATGAACTAAGCTACACCGCTCTCAGAACACTGACCATACCCTACTACTTCTCATGCGTTATTCCATTTCGTATGATATATATCCTCTTTTCTATGCGCAAGGTTGAGGTTTTTTTTCACAAAGAGCAATGTGTCGTCATGTAATCCGACTACAATTATCGCAAAACTCACTCACCATAGATTCTCAACAATGCACAATGGGTGCGTTATAGCCTATCGCGATATATAGAGTCAAATATACCGCTATGCGGCATTTTTATTGCACTCGAATGAATTTGCAGCCTTAATGTAAACAAACCTTGAATCTAGACATGTTGTAACATTTAGGCGATTAGAGCACTCGTCATAAAATTCTGTTTCATATTCGCCAACGATACGCCTCTCGGGATATTTCCCATATCTCTCTGACTTCAAAGGACCTGCTTGCAATCGTGCTTTTGGGTCTACCAACTCAGAAAGTAAGAACAGCATCCATTTGGAGCTTGAATTTGTTCACAGCTTGATGTATCGAGTTTTCGCTTTGAACGGGTTTCGATCCGTGAATGTATCTAATCCGGAGAAAGATCGAGAAAGCATGGTGTGATAGCCCAGGATCATGGCGCTAGATCTAGATCCCCGAACTCTGGCCCAACGTACATCCATTCCTTAACAATCCTACCTAGGAACTTCTATCCCGCAGTTTTTCCGCCCTTGTACTTAGTAAAATGTGGTAAGCTTAGCAAATGAGCCAGGTAGATCATTATCGACTAATATAAACGGCCCGATGAGAGAAGACTATCCCGCTATGCATTGAACTCTCTGTATGAGCTGGGTTATTGTACTAGCTAAACAGCAGCAGCACACAGCGGTACTTCCCACATCAATAAGATTCCTCAATCGTTCGAGCCTACAGCGTTGTCCATAAAGAAGTTATCATTTCATCTCATCATTTACGAAACATAAGCGAACTGTGAAATCGCGCTATGCAAATCTCGACAAAGCACAAGTGATAACAAAACGTGCCGTCATGAATTCGCTCAGAAAGTTTTGGGCCTCCAGAGTCTCATTCTACCACTCCGACCATTCCATATCGTTGACAAATCGCTCGAATCATACAGTTACACTACCAGACTTATGCAAGGATTCGACACCACCGTATCAACCTAGCATCATCCTCTTCAATGGACATCTTCAAACTATATGGACAGCTTTAAGGCCTACCGGGGTCGTTGTGCGCTACAAGCGCAAAATGTTCAAGTCAGAGGATGATCTATACCCAGGGACCTTCGCTGTTGATTTTGTCAACCAGGACGAAAGTGAAACAAAAGAAGAAGAAGAAGAAGAAGACTCCTCATTGCCTCCACATATCACATACTACAGAGACCATGACGCACCCTTTGGCTCACTCGACAGCAAGCCGATGTTGGTCGCATTGCATGGAGTCGCTGGTGGTTCTCACGAACCATACATCAAGCATGTCTTGGCGCCGCTGGTTGCTAGTGGATGGGAAGCATGCGTCGTTGTATCGCGTGGTTGTGGCGGGACTGATCTGACAAGTCCGCTGTTATACAATGCACGGTCTACGTGGGATCTGAAGCAGACGGTCGCGTTCTTGCGGCGTAGGTATCCCAATCGGCCACTCTATGCCATCGGTTTCTCTATTGGGGCAAACATCTTAGTAAACGTGAGTCTCCCTGCCTTCATATGATGCTCAGACAGGGAAAGATGCTGATAAAAAGCGGGAAAATTAGTATCTTGGCGAGGAAGGCGAGAGATGCGGTATCAGAGCCGCTGTGGTATGCTCAAACCCGTGGAATTTGGAGGTTGTTGTCAACGCACTCCGACGAAGTTGGATGGGCCTCAACATCTACTCACACGCCTTAGGAAACGGAATGAAACAGATTTTCCAGCAGTAAGTCACAGATTCAGGTATCGCACGAGCATCTGAAATCTAATACGGGATGCAGACACGCTCAGATGGTCTTGAGAAATAGTAGGATTGCTGCTGCCGCAGTCGAAAAGATTCGATACTCATTCGACTTCGATATGTATGAATGATATTGCCCTGACGTCATTGAGAGGGTACCTAAGCTGATGACAAAAAGTGCTGTGCAGCTACCCATGTGGGGTTATCCAACGACTGGGACGTATTATAGGGACGCGTCATCAGTTGATGCAGTACTTGCAGTGAAGGTACCCCTCTTTGCTCTGAATGCTGAAGACGATCCGGTAAGTCGACCATCCACCTGCATTGTATGGGTCGCTGAAGATTACTGTAAGATTTCTCACCACGAAGCCCTGCCATTTGAGGAGTTTCGCAACAATCCATACACTGTCCTCTGCACAACCTCCTCTGGCGGTCATCTTGGCTGGTACGAATCAGAAGAGCAAAGATGGTTCGCCAAACCGGTATGCGTCCTTGGAGTCCCTCCAGGCTACTAACTGAGATTAAAGCCGGAGAAAGTTTTAGTTAACATCGCGATTAGGTTGTCACGTTTCTGGAGACTCTACATCGTGAAATTGACTGGAGCAAAGATATAAAGCTCGCGCCGAGTGTTTCGCCAGAAACCCAATCTTTCGAGTACAACCCAATCCGGCGCAAAATACAACCCGCCAACACAGTGCACCCTCCTGTCCAGGCTAAGTTTCCTATGACTCTCCAAGATTTTTGGTGGTACTCTTAGCTAGCTAGGTTTGATCTAATATAGTCTGCATAATCTTCAACCGCTCGGTGACGGGATGTGACTGCAATGAAAATGTACACTGAGGCAGCAAGTGGTATGGAAACTCCAACAACCACGAAGAATGCAAGTATGGGTGCCACCGCAATCAATCTTAGTGCTACTATAACTGCAATAGACAATACGAGGAACAGTTTCACTTGGTCACTTGTGCTTTTGCCAGCATGACTCCGCTTGAGTTTCGATTCGGGCTCTCGAACCGGCAATGCCTCTGGTGGTCTTTGGATTATAGATGTAGCCTTCGGTCGCTAGTGATAATCCAAGATCAGTTTACGCCTTATCACTAGAAAGTAGAAACCCTTACCAGCGATGATATCTTTCCAACGATGAGTTCTTTCATGATTGGCGTAACCTCCTCGGAGTGGGCAGCGTCCTCAAAAGCTTCCGTCGCATCTTTTCCTGCAAAACTACGAAGCACCTCTTCTCCTCCAGGATGCTCTTCTATAAAATTCGAGACATCATATACTGTAGTGATTAGTCGCTTTCTGGAAAATAGGGGCGGGAAGGAGCTAACCATATCCACGAATACAGACCCATAGGTCCTTTCCTTGGTTATGACTCGCCACCTCACTCTGAGAGAGCTCTTTGATCACTACCATGCTGGAATAATTGTAAAGAAGTATCTCAGAATGTGTGAGCCTGACACGACGGATTTTCTTCCAAATCATATTACCGTTTTTATCATGTGCAGTCTAGGATTGCTCACGTGAGGCTATTAGTAGGTAACGACTAAGTGACTCCATGCCTATCCGAACTAATCTGAGTAATCCTACATTCATGCCTCTCCTTTGTCATCCTTGTATTAGGCTGCATTAGGAATTCTGACGAGATATGAGACCATCGCGCCAACACTACCCCAACGGTTTCGCGTACTTCTACCTATATTACATCCGTTATGGCCTGAATTTATTCTTTCCAAAATATCCTTTCATAGCAGTTTTCAAAGCGCAAGTCGATCAAATGGTGGTCATCAATGTTTCTCTGGGAGGTGCTAGCGGGAGGTTAGATCAATTTTTTCAACTTGGCGAATACAAAACATTCGAAGCATTGCACGCTGCGATACTAGCCAGATTTAATATTCTGGCAGCCAAAGGCAATATCTCTCGCGAAATTTCACGGTAACCTCAAGCTGACGGAATGCGTAGCCGATGTCACTCTCTACCAGAACCGCAAGAAGGTGCAACTATTAGACGAAATCGCAGACGGTCCTGTAAGTGTCCTCGTCGGCGATCGTAGAATTAGAGACCCTCAGGGTCCAAGAAGTGTTCCCTTCTTTGGCAACTACTTTGACATTTATCCCGACCATATTGGTAACTATCGCCGGCTATTTGACACATACGGAGGTGTAATCAAGGTTCACAACATTGGACGAACCTATTACTTGACCAATGATCCTGAAGTAGCTAAATTAGCCTTTCGAGACGGTGAATATTTTACCAAAGCACCAACGTCTCCCGGCCACCCCTTGCATGGGATAGAAGATCCCACGGCACTATTCCTTTGCGACACAGAATCTCCAGCTTGGAAAGAAGCCCATAAGTTTCTTCCTCCAAGCATGTCGCCAAAGGCGATGAAACACCATCTGCCCAGCATCACAGATGCTGTATCTTCTTCATTTAAAGTCCTGGATCAAACTGAGCATCTCGGTCAAGCTTTCAATGTTTTCAAATATACAAGCAAGCTAGCTTCGCAGGTTTCTGCAAAACTGGTACTAGGTGTTGATTTGAATCATTTTGAATCCTTAGACACTCCAGTGCACCGGATGATGGAGCTTATTGAACGCGCGGTGAAGTTGAATACTCGCCTTCAGGTGCGAGGTAAGCTTTACTCGTATCTCCCATTCGGTACATGTCCCTTCTGCAGATATTTTATCCACAGCTCATTATGAACAGGTGATCCGGCGCTCCTTCGACAAAGCTTGAAGGAGGTCTACACCTACATCGACCAGTCAATCCTGGACTGGGCCCGCAAGGAAGCGACGAGCTTACCCCTTCAGGTCGCAGCTACTGATTCCACCTGTCTTGTCGATTATCTGCTTCGCGCGACAGATGGCTCTGGGAAGACGATGACAAGGCGATACATACGAGGCAATGTTTTGGTCCTTCTGGGGGCTGGTTTCATTACTAGCTCAGCGTTCCTTTCCTGGCTAATTTATTCCTTCACCGTCTACCGAGGTATGCAAGAGCGGCTGCTGCAAGAGCTGGTAGACCATGGTGCTGCAGCAAACAAAGAGTGGTCATACGAGGAACTGCAGGCACTGCCCTTTCTGGATGCTTTCGTCAAAGAAACACAGCGTCTGCATAGCCCGTCTTTTCAACCAGCACGCAATACGCGACAAGAAGTGATTCTACCTGGTGGCTATCGTTTGCCTGCAGGCGCCATTCTGATCCCTAGTCTTCCCCACTTACATACCAATCCCGCACACTGGGACGACCCTTATAGCTTCAATCCTGATCGCTGGGTCACTACACGCGTGAAGGAACGACACCGTTCTGCGTACGTACCCTTCGCTGCGGGCGCACGTGGCTGCATTGGATTTAACGCAGCATTGCTGGAGGCCAAGGCTGCTGTTGCAGAGTTGGTCTATCAGTATGCGTTTGTAGATGCCAGCGTGGAACCAATCGAGTATGATCCTGAATTTAACAACATCAGACCTTCGAACTTTTACGTAAAGGTTGCGAAAAGAACTTCCTGGCCGACTCCGAACTCAAACACTGGTTGATTGCATTCATACACTTTGCAAAATTATTTATCGTACGAGTGTGAGGCCTTAAGAGACACTGAACGAAGAAAACTACTTAGACCTGTTGAAACAGAACGAGGGAAAGAGGATGGGCCAGTAGAGTTGTAGGCTAGTGCGACAGATTATCTCACGGATAATGCGATGGACTATCTGAAAGAGAGATGATAGCTAAGCTGTTTAAATTAGGCATAAGGTCTCATTTATCCAGCAGGACGCCTCCACCAAAGCCACTGCATCGACTATTATTTGGAGAGAATTAGCAGAACATTGATTACTTGCACCTTCCTAGTTGTGATGGTCTAGTGGCATGGGGCTGAGCCTTTAACAGCCAGTTTCACGATGTTGTAGGTTGCGTAAGAGGCAGGGCGCAGCCCGGCAAAGGTTATTCGTCACCCCCATACGCAAGGCTCCCCCCTGTTTAGCGTTGCGCTATCTGTACCCACCTGCGCTAGGATCTGAACTTGATTCGTAATCTATCTCGTACTGTAATTAAAGCCGCTTCTACCTTCCCTTCTTTCTCCGTCTCCGTGCTATTTGTTTCGTCTTTTCATTTTTCTCTCTCTCGTTCTCCTTATTTATACCTATAGTCCTTTCCAGAAATATGGATAAGAGACGAATTACTATAAATAGAAATGAGTATAAGATCAACATGAGATGGAAGAAAGACGAGGAGAAATCGGAGGAGAAGAAGAAATTGTAGGAGGGAGATGTTTATTCTCTCTTTTTTATCTACCTTGCTCATAAAATATAAAGTGTTTTCAGATAGAATCTATGCAGAATAGAAGGCCTACCAATGGTGACAGTAAATAGATAAAAACGACGAATGACGCATGCACTTGCCTAATAAAGCAAAGCGATCAATGCTGCGATATGACGCAATTATCAGAACTCTGTTTTGCAAGAAGTTGCCGAGGTTATCCCGGATTCTAAGATTGCTTTCTTATGCTTACATGCGTTGCAGATAGATCTGTAGTTCTATTTGGACCTACACTGAGGTCTTTGATATCCAGTACTCTGCTGTGATACCTTCATTAACTTGTTATATCTATCAGGTAAAGAGACATTACTTCCACAATTAGTTGCATACTTTTATCAAAATGTTCGATATTCCCCTTTCAGAACAACGCACGTCATACCTACCAAGGTATACATAGTTGTGCAAGTTTATTAAGGTACGATTCGGCTATGTTCCTTTGCGTATAAATGCTTTGTCGAAAGGGGCCGATTCCTAATGGACCCAATATAACTGATAGTGATAAACGGTACGCTAACCTTCTTGAAGCACTAGCAGCGAATCAGTCCCACACTGACTAACATCAGGATGAGTTTACATACCCACAGCCTTCTCGTATAAGAGCTGCATCCTTCCGAACATTTGTTAGGTATCTATATTCCCATTACAACTACGCGGAACGCGATAAGCCATCATGCGCGTCACGCTTTCCAATTTGGCACTCTTTGTGTGTGTGTGTCTAGCTGCCCCTGCACCAAACGCTTCAACATCCACACAAGAAACGCGCAGCCTCGACGAGATTTACGAAGCAGCTGTTGCTGAAGGTGGCGTTATCAATCTTTGGCATGGCGGTGACGAAAAGACTCAGCAAAACGCCCTGAAGGCTGCTTTCGAGAAACGATTCCCCAAAATGACTCTGAACGTCACAGTCGACCTTTCCAAATACCACGATGGAAACATAGATTTGCAACTCGCAAACGACAATGTATACGTCGATAGCGTCATCCTTCAGACGCTGCATGACTACCCGCGCTGGAAGAAGGCAGGTGCTTTGATGAATTATGCGCCATTGAACTTCGACAAAGTCTACCCCCAGTTCAAGGATGCAGATGCAGCCTACACTGGGCTGTTTATTATTGCTTGGGGGTATGATTACCATGAACTATATGTCAATATCATTGCTAAACAAATACAGCCTCGCTGCCAACCCGAACAAGACTACCGCAGTGCCTACTTCATACGCAGATTTTATCAAACCCGAGTTCAAAGATAAGCTCATCCTGACTTATCCCAACGATGATGATGCGGTCTTGTACCAGTTCGATGTCATGTGAGTTCTTATCTTACCCTGTGTATGCTGTTTATTGATTGCATTTCTAGCTTGGAAAAACTCGGCACGAAATGGTTCGACGCCCTGCTCGCCAATAACCCCCGCTGGGTACGCGGCACACAAACCCCAGGAACAATCCTCAGAGCTGCCAACAGCACCAGTGTAGCAACATTTACTGGTAGCTATTCATTCACGGATCGCCCGGGAGCATCATTCGCCCTACCCACTGATGCCAAATTCGTCTCTTGGCCTCAGACTGGCGCCATCCTGAAAAAGGCACCGCACCCCGAAAGTGCAAAGTTGCTCCATAGCTTCATGCTCAGCGATGAGTATCAGAATAGTAATGGTAGGTGGAGCGTTCGCGAAGATATTCCGGCGATAGAGGGCCATCATAAGATTCTCGAGGAGCCTAACACGGATGCACCCGCGTTTGCCAAATGGATGGCAGACCGTGCAAACGTCGAGAGGAGTAGGTTCTTCTATGAAGAGAGAATTGGTACCGCGCAAGGTCTTAGCCCACTCATTGACGACCTATGAGTATGCTCTTGCTGTGAGAATGGTGATCGTTGCACGATGTTGGGGTAAAGATGTAAATAAGAAGTTCATGTGTATAGTTTGTTCCACAAGTCTAGGTTGTGCTTCTCCAGTTTACGTCCTGGTCAGGGCGAAATGACCAAATGCGGCAGTTTGTGCGATAATTAGGAGTTCTCATAGAAGGCAGTTCATTATTGAAGTTATTCAAGACTAGCAATCCGTGTAAGAATAACCTTACAAATAGAGATGAGTACAACGCGGGTAATAATGGAGCCCATCGCCCCAGTGATGTTTCGCCATAAGAATGTGTTTAGTTTGAAATCCTAGTGCATCTGGTATTCGGCCCTGGATAGCCAAAGAGTTACTAAGAAAGTCGAAGAGTCAATTCGGATGGCTGTTTCGTAGTCGTGGCTTTCTGTCATAGCAAGACTCTAAGCCTATGGGTGATGAGATACTCAAGGAGATTAGAAAGTAAGGCTCTAAGAATTTTCATGCCCTGGGCTGGAGCCATCCACACTATACTTTCCATAGATTTTTCAATGTGACAAGATACTCCCTAGGTGTTGGAAACAGTCCAACTTGCACAACTGTACAGCTTCTGCCCTAATGCTTGAAAAGCATGTAAAAAGCAACCATAGTACATAGCCCGCCTTTGATCCACTTTTGGAGAAGAAGAATTGATGAAATAAAGCAAGATCGTCCTGAAATGGGTGGGAATTATCCCGATTCCTGAACCACACACTACTTCTTTACAACACTTTCTACAACACCATATAACGGCTAGCAAGTGAAATGCTGACAATGCTCTGCAAAATGGAAATTAGTGGATAAAACATACACAACATGGCCATCTTGTTGAAAACGATCAATCAAGACTTGGCGTGGCCTTTAGACAATTCACTCTAGTGATGGATTGCGAAAGAAGTTGAATAAAGTATGTTATTCGAGACACGAGGATTACATGGATCTGGAGGTATATTAATGTTTTCTGAGACATTTAGCCGCTCAGACTACGAGCAAATTGGTCAACTGAGGGTCCCACAGCACTTGAGCCAGCACACGCCTGAGGTCACTGAATCGCAATCACATCTATGACCTTGAACAAACGCAATAAAAAACCAACACGACGCCCTTCCCCTCCTTCCTGAACAGGATTAACAAGGATTTAATTGGATGGATATACTACGACGCCAGGTAAGCTAGGGCAGGCACGAAAGACATATACTGCGCATATTGAGTCATCTATCAACTGTCTTCACATCGCTTACAAGTATCCAGCATATTGCGTTTTGAAGTGTCTTGTGTACCATCATGACAATTGCCAAGGCGCGTTGAGGCTGGTATCCAAATCTTCGGACGTCGAAGAAAAGGATTGAGTCACGCCAATGACATTGTATCAACTGACGCAGTCGTCAAAATGCCAGGAAGCGTCAAGAACTCGCTCAGATATTTAGTATCACCTCAGTACCTACATGGTCGCTTCTTGAGTATCCAGCCATAAATTGGCTGCACAAAAGTGTTTCCTCGCATGACTGCATCTTCCTCGGGTCAGGACCATATCCACCCAGTTACGACGCTGCACTACCAGATATAATCGGCTCCCATTATAAAACCATTGAAAAATGCAACGAATACTTCTCTGGCCCCGTTTAGCATGATATTGAAGCTCTGCGAACAAATCATCAACACTCCTCGCATCATGTGGGAATGAAACAGTTTTGCACTGCATTCGAATAATCCATCTTGTAGGGATTGCTAATAGAGACAAGTCTCTAAGAAGGTCTCAATAAAGTGATTAGTACGAAAAGCGCATTGCTAAATAACCCCACTGCTTAAATTGAAACGCCTAATGTCGAAAAGCACCACTGTTACTCCGCCAAAGGATCGACAAAGGATTTGCAGAAGTAGTCAATGCTTGCTTAGGCTTTTCTTTTGACCCCGAACAGGTGGAAGATGAAGCGAAAGATAATCAAAACGTTTCAGTCTTGCAAAAGAGCGTTGTGCGAGTGCTAATCAGTGGTTGATCACAGATTTTAAATCATTGGTTATCATCGTTACGGCTGTAATCCTTCCATATTGCATTTCCCTATAATCGAAACAGCGTGAGAGAATACTCCTAGCTCTGTGGAAGGTTCTTTTAATGCTCATAGTATAGAAGTTCGCGATGACTGCTGGGAAAACAGCTGTCGGGAAGTAAACACATACATTTAACGTGGTTGTGAAGTGGATTGGAGTCTTTGCCACCAACAATTGGGCCTAAATCAGACCAGAGTTACACATTTTCCTAATATCATTCGGTGACATACCCCGACGAGTGATGCCAGAAGATAAAGATTGGCTGTGAGAGAAAACCTCCTCATAGCCTTGGAGTCATTGCCCCTG